AGTGGGGGGGGGGGGCAAGTGGATATTTGTAGATATTTGGATAATGTCATCCACTTTTTTCGTGAATTATCCATTACAATAATCTACAAATATCTACATTTATCTACAAAAAATGTATACCTCAAATATGTACCCAGAAATTCTACTGAATTTTTGGAGATAAATGTATAAATTTGTAGAATTTGTAGAATTTTCGTGAATTATCCATTGACAATAATCTACAAATATCTACATTTATCTACAAAAAATGTAATCTCAAATATGTGCCCAGAAATTCTACTGAATTTTTGGAGATAAATGTATAAATTTGTAGAATGTCATCCACTTTTTTCGTGGATTATCCATACTACATTAATCTACAAATATCTACAAATATCCACTTGGCCCCCCCCCCCTGAGTGATATTGGTGCTAGCGGGAAGCAGTTCTGTGCGCGCACCCGCTGTTTATGACTGCGCGTCAATATTTGCTTATATCTGGCATAGGTGCAGATTTCGTTTTGAGGTGAACTTTTAAGTTCCCGAGAAATTTTCATAAGTTTGCTTTTTTTTCCTCCTCGGGCACATTCGTAACCTACGGGCCAGGTAAACCTAAACTACATATTATATTGACCGTTATGTACGTCGGTATCTGTTGAGGAGCCAAATCATCTGAAAAGCCCTATATTTTGCTCAGGCACGTAGCCAGGATTTTTCTTTGGGGGGGGGGGGGGGGCTGTCGGCGAGCGAAGCTGCAAGCTGTGGCAGGGGTCTGGGGGCGCGGCCCCCAGCGGGGTCCAGGTAAGGGGCGGACCCCATTGGCGGGGGCTAGGGGGGCGCAGCCCCCCGGAGAAATTTTGCGAAATAGGGTGTTTTAGGCTAAATTGAAAGTTTAATGAATTTACAAAAATGTATGGTTTGGCATAATCATTGCCTACAATCCTGACCTGAGTAATTTACCCCTTTGAGACTTTATTTTGGGTTGAAAATTGAGTTTATCGAGAGGAAGTGAAAAATCTCTGGTTCAAATTTGGATTTGAAGCCATGTTTAATTTTTTCTGTTGAGGTCAATTTTTTGCGCAGAAAGCGTTCGATTTTAGGGGAAAAAATTTATGTTTGCTTTTAATTTTTATGGTGCCGACGGCACCTGAAATCGACGAAATCTGCAGGGGTGATATCTGGGGCGTTAGTCGATCGCTGCCGGTAGAGTCCTGGTACATAAGGGGGCCTACTAGCCCACCATGGCATTGCGAGTCCCCTCGCTAGGCACAAGATTCTTTTATAGACACTAATGCTGACTCACCGTAGCTATGCTATGGGGTACAGACATGAGCCCTGGAAGAACCAGTAAAACCTGACAAGGATTCTCACCCTGTTGGATATCTTTGTTAAGGAAGTAGCCTGTGCCACTATTTATAGTTGTAGTATTGGTTGTTGCCGAGCCTTGATCAAACCTAACCATGCTCATTGCTCAAGTGCTCTAATGACTGACAAATTGGATATCTGAAATCTTAACACAGATACCAATCTCACAGTCTCATGTTCCCCATGTCATCCAACAATCCACCTGTGAGTGATATCTGACAAACGCGATTATATTTGCGCGGTGTTTTAAGTTTTAAACATACTTATGATTTGACAGAGTGGGCTCTCATCCGCAAGAAGCAGCCCTCCATACAGACATTTCACTTGGATTCCTCCTCTGTTGATGAACCCACTTTTGCAGTGTACTGTCATGAGAGTGTCGTGCTTTACAGGAAATGCTGGCTCGGTTGAACTTGATGACAGGTGTTCCCATTTCTTGCCCAGTTCTGTGCAGTCTGGAATTGTGCGGTTTATAGTTGTTTCATAGTTTTATGACACCCTTTTCTCTAAACAAAGTATACGTTTTATGTTGGTGAAGTTATCACAGCCTAGTGATGTTTGGTCTTCATCTAATTTAACACAAGAAAAATTTAAATATCATTGATTCTTTTTTAATGGTAGGGAAATTTTGGGATTTTTCACAGAATTGTTCATTCAGCTTCTTACCCAGATTTGGTTTCGGAACAATCACTATTTCATTCACGTCCACCATATGTCGGCTTATCATAAGGGTATCTCCAATCTTACAGTCGGCAAAGACATCAGAACCGAGATCTTTGCCATCCTCAGGGAACACTGAGAGGGAATACCCATCACAATGTGTTCCCTCGCATGTGAACGTTTCTTCAGAGAAGGTGTAGGTATTCACATCATCAAATGTAGGTGTTGCGTAATGGAACACGTGCTCGATACAGTACTCCCCATCTAAGGACGCCTTAAACCACGCATTGCCATCCCTATTATCACCATATGTTACTGCTTGAGTTTCCATATCCATGTCTATAGCATTCCCTACCACATTATCTATACTTGTTTCAGACTGAGACACAAACACAGGCTTTATTTCACCTTCCACTTTCGGTCTTATCTTTCCACCTGATTAGTGATTGAGAGTTACTGGGGATAAAATTTCTGTATATATTTCTGCCATATAAGTATTAAACTATGTAAATTATTGTTGAAAAAAAATAATGACTATTAAGGTGATAATTTAACTGATGTGATGGTCTCAATTACCTTGGAGGGGTGCCCAGGAGAAAGTCGTGAAGATGATTATCGTTATCTTCATGACCGGATGATCGCTACATAAAAATAGGTTGTAATTAAACAATTCGACTGGGCTTCAGCAAATACGAATAGCAATTTTTTGTTTGTGAAGCGTAGATTTTGAAGCGCAGGACCATCCTATCTGCTATCAGTATCTTACGTAATTTAAAGAGCACTACTACTATTTACCATGCTATCTATTGTTTTTACAATTATTGTCATCATCGCAATTAGACGCTTGGCTCTGATAAGCAATCATAATTTGGAAATGTTACTTGTATTTATAATAAATATTATAATAACCATACTAAACTATGTAGTAATTGATAAAGATGCGATTAATATTGTGTTTAGGAACCGACCGGTCTGGGGTTTTGGTTGTCGGACCGGAAACAACCGGATATCAATCTATTTTCCGGTTTGCCGGATTTTTCCGGACCGGAACTGGGTAATAAGAAGAGGGAACTCTCGGAAAATTGAAATTAATCCTTGATTGTGGGTTTTATTCAATTACGATATTAAAAGCCACACATAAAAACAATGCTTACAGTCCGACTAACTGTGTTCATGCCCTATCTCAAATTTCAACCAATTTTCTGCTCTGCGAGCAGCAAGTCACTGGTTGATATATTGTGCGAGAAGTGCAGAGGTCACTGATATGAGCAGAGCTACAAACGAGTTGGAATAAAATCAAAACGCACATCTCAAGAATTCACTGCGTTTTGAGTAGCACAAATGTAGAAATTCTAGAAGTAAAGCCCAAAATCCAGCTTTCACAAATATAACTGAGGATAATGCCCGCAGTTTGTAATGGCATAATGTCCTTTGTTTTAATCCTTGGTATAAGGCGAGTTAGCAACGGGTTTGCTTGCCACAATAGAGCAGGAACCCTGGCCCTCTGCTTGCAAGGCTCATGAATAAAGCATTGTTTTGTCATCGTACTGAACAAGAAACAGAGAGAAGAGACCAAGCTCAAGGAGAAAGAGAGACCAAGGATTCCTCTTCTACCTGTTCGTCTATTGTCCAGGTGTTCACCAAGCCTTTTGTTTTTCGAGTCATTATGTGATTAAAAGGATTCCTGGAGACTGCACCGCGTACTAGAATGTGTTATTATAAATCAAGAGGCTTGCATATAATGAACATATTGACACAGGTGCAGAGTTGAGTCTGTACGGAACCTAGTAGTTTCAGATTCTTGTTTAACTTGCCGTACAGCAAGGTCATCCACTACTTTAGCCCGGCGAGGCACATAACTCCCTCTACAACTCCATGACAAATGTTTCATATATACTAGCCGAGTTCACAAGTTATATCCTTGTGTTTGAGAAGAGCTCGTTAGAACTGCTTCCTTTCCCTTCAGTATCTGCTTCCTTTCCCTTCAGTATGTTAATTACAGAACTGTCTATTCTTGGTTCTACTGAGGTGCACATAGGGACCCGATTCATTACGTAATATGTGGACAGGGCGGGAACTCGAAATCATATTTAATCTAGAGTTGGCAATAATCGAACTATTGTTTACTTAACATTTTCAATAATTACTCGATTTAAAACAAGTTGGTAAATATGTTTTAAATATTCAGAGGAAACAGTGTAAAGTAAAGCTCGGTTTAATTGATTTTGATGATAGACATGCTTTCAAACTGGTATTTCTCGAGAGGAGTCCTGCTGTTTGTACTATAGATACAAGATACAAGGGCAGGTCTCTCTCGAACGTTGGGATGGCCTGAGGTGCTTATCTCCTTTTCAGTAACCCTAAGCCACTCTGTGCCGAGGCACTATACTAGCTGTTGGGGGTTAGTCCTACGAGCCAGAGAGTGTGTATCACCAGCCGGGGCTGTACCAAATCACAACTTGGTAACTGGCCGACTTGCATCCGACCGGATTTGAACCCGAGTCTTCTGCTTGGGAGGCGATCGTGTTACCACTACACCACCCGGCCGTAGAGTACTATACTGTATATTTAATCTCGTGCGAGTTATGAATATTTACTTGGTAAAGTTGTTACTAAGATAGTAACACACATAATAAAGATTATAATATACTAAATATACATACTGAGTAGTTAGTACATGTTTGTTAATGTGACGGATATGTCAATATTTAATCTTTTAATTGATAATTTTAACCACACGATAGGTAAGATGGTACATTTTGCAAATTTTTACGAAGCCTGATAGACCAATGAACTTATACACCGCTACCACCCACTGCCTGAAATAATGGTGTATAATCTGTATATAAGTTAAAACCTAAAACAACACTGCGGTACTCATATTAACTTGACACACACCCGCATTCCACCAACCAATAATTATTTCGGATAGTTCAAACGGCTGCAAATATTTCCCTCGAAACATTCCCCATTTGATTTAACACCACTTCTCCCACAGTACGACGCCAGAAAGCTAGAACGCCTAACATGGAAGAAGCTCTACGCACGTGACGGCTACATAACACCCGCCGAACTAAAACCATCAGATGACTGGAACACAACCGCCCTCACCATCAAATCCGCGCACCGCGCCGTCATCTACCAAGAATCCAACTCCCACCAAAACAATCCTCTGATGCTACTCGGCCATCAGAAACTATTTCAGTACATTTACTACAAACTGAGGACTTACAAGCTTATCAACATGTTGAACATGAGGATTGATAGTTTGGATATTGGCACGTTTAATGATCTGTTGAGCGTGACCCTTCAGACTTCTTTTAATGAGGTCATAGCGACGTTTAGTGAGGCTGCTATTACCACTCTTCCTGTTACTAATAGTTATGGTTAGTTAATTAGTTAATTAGTTAATTAGTTAATTAGTTAATTACGGTTAGAAGTAAAGCTGGGCGTTCCTTCTGCTTTTGGCTTTCTGAAATTTTGTGTTTCTTTACTATTAAACTGTTTTTATTTATGAAGCTGTGGCTAAATTCTGATTTATTTATAATCGGCTGAAAAGTCGTTACATCTTCGAATATCTAAAATATCGAAAGTGAAAGTAAAAACAGAACAGCCTGACGAGCTTAGTTAACTCACAAGAAATGTTTCATCTTAATAATAATATAGACCTGCTTAGTTTGCAATTAATATGCGGATGTTTGTAATTAACTCCAATTATGTATTCCAGGAAGATTCACATATCTGCTAGACACTAAGATGCTTTTCGTAAGTTCAATACTGTCGATTTCTATTTTTGTTAGAATAGGGCGTGGTCTCTCTGTGACGAAATTTATGATGCCACTCTGACGTTAAACCCCATTTCTTAAACACCATTCCTTAAACTAACCCCATTCCTTAAACCCCATTCCTTAAACCTCATTCCTTAAACTTACCCCATTCCTTAAACCCCATTCCTTAAACTAACCCCATTCCTTTAAGTTTTAACTCCATTCCTTAAACCTCATTCCTTAAACTAACCCCATTCCTTAAACCCCATTCCTTAAACTAACCCCATTCCTTTTACCTTTAACTCCATTTCTTAAACTAACCCCATTCCTTAAACCCAGTTTTGACTTTCGCATTTCAGGACGTGGTATTAAAATGCCCAACGAAGGTCAGATTGACTGTGGCTGACGTAGTCAGATATCACGGGGTAAGTTATATAATTATAAAAGTAGATTGGATATAGGCCTAGGTAGGACATCATATATAATATTCTCAAAATGGCTCAGAGAATGTTCTAGACTTCATGGACTGTTTGTTACCATTAGTGACGCAGGCAGCGAAAATCTCGACGTTCTGTAAAACGCGAAGCAAATATTTATGAACGTCATGGCGCGCATGCATCGTTCTAGTCTTTTAAAATTTTGTCGCGCGCGCGTTAGAAACATTTGGTTCAAACAAAGCGAGTGTCAAATCAAAACAAACACGTTGATGTTACTAAAACTCACTTCGTGTGTGGGCATTACTACATTTTACACGACTTCCGGTCCCTAATGAGGGTTATATTTCATGTAAGTTGCTCTTAAAGGATAAAGCCGCAATATTTCAATTTCAAAGCTTGTTTAGTGTCCCGCTTAAGGAAGTCAAACAATTGCCTGGACAGTGGCCAAGAGGACATACTCGAGCATTTAGCTCTAATCTTGATAAACGACCTGAATTGAACAGCAGTCGTGAAGGGTTTAGTTGCTGCTCACTGCAGCAATATTCAGTAGAGATGGCATTCTGCAGAACTCTACAAATTGATATGAATAAACGATTTAGGCGGAGGTGCTTTGCTCAGATATTATCATTATTTGCAATCACCAAAACTACTCCATTTTTAATCAAGACAATCTTTCCAGTTGGTTCCAGAATCTCAACTATGTCGGGTTGTCTACGAATCAGACACGCTCAAAGACGTCCTCACAAAACTCAACGACGCCAACGCCAATAACGTCGTAGTTTTGGATTCAGAACAAGTCGTCAAAGGAATTATTACAACCACAGACATGTTACTTTTCCTTGGACTTAGTGTCGGAGCTTTCAAAAAGACTTTGCAATGGGCCCATATTAAGTGTGATTAGGATTTTTATTAATTAACTTTTAAATGGAAATAAAAGACGTTCTCCCCTGGAAACGCGACTGTAAACCCAGTTTTTCATATAATTTTTAGTATTTAACCCGAGATTTTATGTTGTTATTGATATTAGGTTGTGTCGTGCCTGCTCGCATGACTTGCTTGTTTTTTCTTGCACGTTACCTGCTGTTAGTTTGTCCGCCACAAAGGCTAACTGAACTCGGACTGTAATTAGGGAAGTTAAACTATTTGGCTGGAACAAATTTGACCCTCTCTGCTGTGTCAGCTGTAATTGATGGAAAGCACGCAAAATATTTGTTGAATGATTTTTTTTAATAAGACAGAAGTTGTAGCCAGATAGTTTCAGAAAGATGACTGGTTGATAAATAGCTTTGTTGCCTGAGACGGTGGACGATGCATGTATCAGTATCCATTAATACGGGACATTTGGTGTTATATTTGACGTTATATATTATAGGCTGTTCTTAGGTTTAATATGTGCCATTAGGTATTTGAAATTCTAATGTCTTATTACAAATCTGAAACAGCTCTGAAACGACGACAGACAAAAAGAGGAAAGTGACTCGATATTTTTGAAATCAAAAAATTTCTTCTCTTTTCTGTCGTAGTTTATAGGAATATATTAAATTTTTGGGGGCTTGCTCACGCATTACCACTAAGTATCGGCTTATCATAACATCTCACTGCATGACAACATCGTTGGTGTTAGTCTAACTTCATAGTACATATTGTACCATTATCGGGATTCTGAAGTGGTAAATGGTGGGTTTGTTCTCCTTATTTACATCGATCGGAGACTATTTAACAGTAAAACCTCTATTAAATTTAACCGGGGGAAGTTGTTTGCTCGGTAAGTAAATGAGAGTAGATGTGCATGGTAGATACGTTTATTATATCGTGTAGATGATTGAGTAGAAGATTAGGGATCATGGTAAGTAGAGGTTTTACTGTAAATTTTCGATTGTAAATGTTGTAAATATTATTTCAATATCGTTACTTGCTTTCAGGCTAGCTTGAAAGTTTTAAACGCCTAAGAATTAGGCAAAATTTGATGTTATGGGCTGTCAATCGGAACGTTTGATAGTTAGGTTCTGATTTTGATACGCAGCGATTTTCATCTTTATCTAAACATACCTTGAAACGTTTATCATTGAATTAAAACAGTGATTTTAAATCATTAAAAGATTTTAAATAATTTGAGACCCTCTTGTAAGAAGCTACAAATACATAGATAGTTTTGATTTTCATCTTATCACCAAAGTTGGTTTTTAAGTTGTTGACGAAACTTTTAGTGTCCACACTCCACACAAACTATTTTTCAACGGATCACACCTAAACTTTTGTAATTTACTATTTTAGTACCAACTAGCAATTTTACATCATAGTCCATCAACCACTCCCTTTCAGTACTGTTTTTGTTTTACCGATGAGGTTGAATTAATTGATTAAATTAACTGATTTAATTAATTAATTAGTTAATTAAAGCGACAGACAAATAGTTGATTGTCATACACCGATTTGTACAAAGCGTTTTATGTTTTTATCACCAGTATAGTATTCGAAACTAGTTTATCAGTTAGCGTTAAACCAGTTAAATAAATTGTGTATTACTTTTCAACTTTTTTCGTGAATAAACTAAACGTTACAAAGACTATCAAAATAGTTGTGGTAAGTAAAAGGAGGAGACGATACAATCTAAAATAACTTGCATGACCATGGTACTGTAAGACCGCGCCAGCCTGTCACTTAACCATATATCTTCAATCGGTGTTTTTTAAACATGTAATCCTGCATGGGGTCCCCAGCTGTAACTGCTGAAGATTGTATTTATATTATATATAGCCATTATTTTAAAGATTAGTACCTTTATTGCTCATCAGCTGTTGGAATAAGATACAAGAGCGATGTGTGCAATTCCGGTGCTAGTTCATACAGAGAACAAATGTAAATTGAAATTATAATTATGATCTGTTTTCTCCCATATATATAACTCCTGATCGATTAATTATCCTATCACATGTAATACTAATGATGTACAATGATGTGATGCTCATGATTTGGAATTGTCGTCAAAAATTCATTTTTAAACGAGATTTTTAAAGTTTGTGTCGGGAGAGCAATTTTGTAATAAACAAATTGCATGCATGTAATTTTATTCAAAGTATATCACTATATGATCATCGTTTCGCATAACATAAATTTTGGAATTCTTACTAAAATTGTCGAAAAATAGCGAGTCAACAAACTTTAATAATAATAGCAAAGTGCAAACACAATTATAATTATGTATGATTTCAATTTGAGGAGTATGCACTATGCAGTAAATCAATATGTGAATTGGGAAATTGGATACCTTTACGGCTTACATGACACCTCAAGCTATAATGTTTATAAACACATCCGCTGAATCTTTGTTCAGCGGAATGATGCACAGGCTAACTAAGCGCAGCTCAGTAAAAAAAACCATGTTCATTTATAATAAAAACCTTTTCCAACCATGAGTCCGGAGTCGTGCTGTGTATTTCATGACATTTAATTAAGTGAACAAATCAAAGAAAAATGGTGTTTTTATTTTTTTATTGTTTTGTTGAAGCTTAAACTGCATGCGTAATAAAGCGGAAAAATTGATTTTGTCAGCAATGCATAAAAGAAAACTATTTTCATTAATAAAAAATCAATAAATTAATCATTGAATAATTTTAAAATAATTCATTTTTTCATCTCAGTTCTCAAATTAATACACAAAGATACTGTTATGTGCCAAAGATAGCAAAAACAAAACTTAGCGCGGCGTAAAAATCTTGATGACGAATTGCAAAGCCGCGCACTATACCACAGTATAATAACTTTGCAAAATATTATGTCATCGAACGTCAGAGGGCATCTTCCAATGGTAAAGCTCGGGCGTTATTTGTCATTGCTACGTAGAAAGTTCGTTCACTGGTATTACATTGTGATGTTTACTATCAGCTGATACTGAAAATCCTTATTATCTGGTATGTAAGAGCCTCTTATTTGAGCAATTAGGGCTTTAACCTGGATCTCCAGTCTCACCTTGGCGTCCAATATTCGGATTGACTAACTACCCTGACACGTGACTAACCACGTGACATGATCAGGGGGCCGCCAGGCTCCCGGGGCATCAACCAGGAAATGACGAAACATATTTCTCTCAGGCCGAAAGTCTAGATGGACAACAACTCGTCGAGCAACCTCCTCCAAAACAGCTTCGAATCGCAGGTAGGTTTGAACCGCTATTACTCCTTCTCCACCGTGTCGGCTTCATCTTGTGATGAACCGGTTTATTAATGCCGCTGTTGGTCAGTTTTGTGTTTGTACTTGCTGTAGTGTGTCTCCGGTGATAAACGTGTCGAATGGTATCTTTTACAAAGGTAATTGTATTAAACTGTCTTGGCACTTTGTTCTCTCCGGGGAAACTAATTAGTGATTCTGTGATCCATAATTTTGCGAGCTCATGATTTTTGACGGTGCTGCTGGGAGTTGTAACGATGTGATTAACTGGTTAACCAGGTGTTGGGTCGCGGAGATCTAATTGATATTTACTGGGATCTCCTTGTATTGTGCTTATCAGGGCTTATTTAGCAGCACGTTACCGTTTTACCATGTGTAGATTTTAATAGAGTTATTTTAAGAAAAGTTTAAATTTTGCGTTTTCGTTCGTTCTTGCGGATCAATGTGGATGACATTAGGTTCAAAATATCGTTTAGTGTTGAGGTTCCTTGGTTTGAGTATTTCCATCTCCATTTTTTCTACAGAACCTGTTTAGGCAATAATATTGTTGCGCCTTCCAAGCTTTGAATTCCTTTAACTTACAACATTCTACACCATGTCAGTAATTTACTATGCTCCAATGTTCTACGCAGCTTTCATCAACATGAGTGTTGCATTTTCTATGTTTAAGAACTCTTCTGCCGAATCCAGCTATTGCAGCGAAAAGATTTGGAGACGAGAATAATGATAAATTATCATGACCTGCTAGGCCATTCGTTAGTTTAAGTAATTTATTTGGAATCTGGTGTGATGACCGATGTTCCTTTTTCTGCTCGGTCATGTCAGTATGCTATCCCACTTTTTCCCAAACTTCTAATTGGAGTTTAATTTTCAATTTTTTCGGCTCCCTGTCTTCGGAAATTCCGCATCTCGAAATTCTTGACCCATCTGTACTTCCTGGCATACATTGCCAATTTTGTCACGTGTTTTTTCAAACATAACCAAATGTGTACTGAAGTAGGATATGAAATTTGAGAATCAAACCTTTTATTTAGTATGAAGGACGAAGGTGGATCATTTTACACACATGTGGGCCTAATCACATAACTTCATAATTGCTAAGTGGAATTTCTCATAAAGTGTACATTTCAAATTATACACCGTTTCTAAATTTTCAACAAATTTAAAAACGTATTTTTCACATGCATTTTGTATATAGGCGTAACCATAGGCGTAACCATAACTAAAGGCGTAAAGTGTCATATGCTCAAAAAAAACGACCATAAGCCGTGACCCGACTGTTTGTACTTTGTAAGTTGCTATTAGGCACGAACAATTAACATTAGCTGAGTTCATTGAACATGGGTATAAGGTAGCGCAAGGAACTATTTAATTACATTTTGCTGTCCTGAGGATTATTTCATCTATCGTAACATAACCTATAAAATGGATTCCTAGGCCGAATATGGCAAAAATATCACGAAGAAGTTGCCTCGAGCATGCACCAAACACGTCTCCATCAATTCTCAGAACTACCATCATGTCATTTATAAATAGCAATTTCAAATTGATAGTTATCCCATCCAAAAGCTCGCCATACTCCCGTTATACCGTTGCTCAGATTCAGAATATCCAATAACGCTATTAGCGACGTAACGGTTACGTAACCGGGATCGCTGGTAATTAACCATCCAGACCATACCGGGGGCCCGCACCATGTTATATTTGGATCCCATTGTAACGAACAAAAATAGATCGCGTTCTAAGAGAGACTGAAGTAGATATCTACACCCAAAATAGCTGGAGTGATATTTGACGTTTCGCTCACGTAATCTGTATCTTGATTCATGACACGGGTAGGTGCCACAAATAGAATGGTCCATTTCTATGTAATCTGGTTGTTTGAAAAGCAATTCATTTGAAATTGAAAGGCATGATGTGTTCTGGCAAGCTAGGATTTTTCTTGATCCTAATTTAGTAATCAGTTTCCTCCGGTAACTGCACTGTACACTATACATATTACATATCAATATTCTTCTGACTGACCAAAAGCGTAATTATGTATATAATATCCTTTATTGTGCGGCTAGTCCACAGATAAAATACACATAATCAAACCAAACAATTCCAAAAGTTACACGCTAGTTACCTTACAAGACATTTTTATAACGTACGAAATGCGACGGTTTTCCCTAAATTTCGCCATATTTTCGGACCGCCAAAATTTCGGTCGTCGTAATAGAATCCGTCGCATTATTTTTAGCTTATTCCAATAATTGTGGCTTCATCGATTCATTTTGTTCTTGAAAAGTTAGTGATATGATGGTGGGACAAATAAACACAATATGAATATTCCATGATGAATTTAATGTCAAGTTATACGTTTTAAATTTACAATAAATTACATTTATGTGCTAACATAAACGTCTTATAGACTAAGTCAAGATAAACAATTTAATACCAAACTCAATAAGTGAAACTGAAAGATTCGAGCCGGACCCCTTAGAGGAAGATGAAGAAATCGATTTATAAGTTTCATTTTGTTTCGACATGATTTTACCGATTTTTAGAAAATTTTTGAATTTGTGTCAGAAAACAAAATGATGAAAAATACCCTTATTTTCTGTGACGTCCGAAATGTGACGGTTTTTGTTCAATTTCGCCATATTTTCGGACCGCCAAAATTTCGGTCGTCGCACATTGGTCCGCCACAAAAATGTCTCGTAAGGTACATTCTTTTTACACACAATTACATCGTTAAATTACACACAATTACACCGTTCAATTACACACAATTGTTAAATTACACACAATTACACCGTTAAATTACACACAATTGTTAAATTACACACAATTACACCGTTAAATTACACACAATTGTTAAATTACACACAATTACACCGTTAAATTACACACAATTGTTAAATTACACACCGCACAACTAGTTACATGTAATGTTACATCCAGCAACTAGTAGACAGCGGTTATTGTTCCAGGAAGATGCTGACAATGAAAAAAGAGCCGCCCTGCAAAGAGAACAGCTGTCAAGGAGACCTTCCTACAGGTAAGCAGTGTTATGTAATTTGTTATGTAATTTGTTATGTAATTTGTTATGTAATTTGTTATGTAATTTGTTGTGTAATTTGTTGTGTAATTTGTTGTGTAATTTGTTGTGTAATTTGTTGTGTAATTTGTTATGTAGTTTGTTGTGTAATTTGTTGTTTAATTTGTAATTTGCTGGTCTAGATTCTAGAAGACCAGGTAAAAACAAGGATTTGTTGCGTTATTTGTAGAATCTAGAGGTAAAACTTATACGTAATTTGTTATGTAATTTGCTGGTCTAGGAGACCTTGGCCTTCCTTCAGGTATAGTAAAACATAGGAGTGTGAAATGTATTGTTAGTAGGTAAAGGTATAACTAGAATCCCACCGTGGGTAACCGAAAAGTAGGGTCAGCCGCTACACAGTAGACATGAATATTAATGGTACAGGGCTATGTCTAGATTTCTACTGAGGGACGTGCAATGTTTACCTGCGTATCATGCGTATCACGCAGTGAAATATGTGGTAATATGTGGAATGTGGTTAACTGGCGGGTTACTGGCGGAGGCAGCTACATATCTAGTAACTCGACCGGTCAGATATTTGGAATTCCGGAATTTATTATTCTTGGGGCCGGGATAGAGCTGGTGTAAGTTTTGGATCTGGATTTTTTTTTGAATTGCGGATAGCTTCAGGAAAAAATCCTTTTGATCGACAAGTAATAAGTTATCTAAATTTGATAGTACCTTCTAAAATTTGATGGCATATGACTGAAACAAAAAAACTAAGTTATTTTAAGAATTTGGCTCTCTAACCTTACAACAGATACCAACTAGTCACTATGAAGGAAGTCACCACACTCTACATGTGGTTGTTGTTCTAATGAACACCATTCTCCCAGAACACGCACAACTTGAACCCACACCCTGTCTCCTCCGCACCTGTGTTATCATTAATCACGTGTCACCATGGTCACGTGTTACCATGGTCACGTGTCACCATGGTCACGTGTCATCATTCACAGACATGCTATTACTGTATCGATGAGTCACGTCAAGTAGTTTGTTATCGGCACAGGAAAAAATGCAGGAAATGTTGCGCCGCTACGCATGGGTTATATCGTTAAACATCACCCACAGATATTACTAGGGAGCGTAATCGGTGGCAGTTAAGCACTTAAACTCATAGTCATTTATAAGTCATTGTATTATTATAAAATTGACCGGAATATGACACATGGTTTTGTTGATTGATTTCCTTGAAACTACCAAGTTATTAAATGTTGACAAATGACAGAGTCGCTAAAATGGCAGTGTTGTGCAATGATAGCTTTATTCCCAGGGTTAAGATTTAATATGCGCCAGAAGCTTGTGTCATAGTTTGAATGACTATTATATAGTTTGATAATGACACTTAAAACTTGTTAACTTCTATGGAAAAATTCAGCAGTCTTTTGTCAAAAGTAAAATAGACAGTGTTATCCATTTTTTGTGTAACGTGACAACTTATTATATGAAATCGCTATAAATAACACAGGTGGTTTTGATCACATAAGCCAGTCACCAGCCGAGAATCATAACCATTAAAGAATCTTCTAAAAGTTGGTTCTTGTAGCTTTTAGTTTCAGACATCATGACGCAAAACTGAAAATGTTTTCATGATGCTCGCAAAATCTGGAAAGTTCGAGATTTGTGATTTGTGTACATTTTCCTTGGAAAGATTTATCCCTTCAACTAAAAGCAAAACCCGGTCTGGCTGATCCACATTAAATTTAATTTAAAAACTGTAGGGTGATATGCAGGCAACTTTAATTTCGTGCGGCCTCATCTAGTCATCTAATCGTAGCATTACGTCACTTGGAGTGAAATCATCAACCATTATTAAACTCTAGCAGAGGAGAGCTTTGATCTTGTGCAGCTAAATGGTGAAACGAATTGGTAATTATAAAATCATTGGTGGAACCAGTAATTAGTTCGGTATTATAAGTCAAGCTGAAATACACTTAGTCTTAGTGAATAGTCTGGGAAATATAACTGTAGGTTGGCTGCACTCAGATTGGTCGCTGAGAAGACGTTGATTGTTCTAATAGTTAAGCAGTAGAGTTTGTGGCTGCAGAGTTTATTGAGTCTGCATGTTCTGCGACTGTGCTGCAGAGTTTATTGAGTCTGCATGTTCTGCGACTGTGCTGCAGATAAGAGAGATAATGTGGTTACAGACGTTCAGGCTGGAATTAACTGAGTCTGCTGATAAATTCACTCGACTGTAGTGGATAAATCCCGAAAGATGGTCGTTTAATGTCTATAGGAAATGTAAACAGTCTTTATTCAAGGTTTTAAAGGCGAAACCATTAGGTAATTTCAAAGATTTAAATAAAGATTGCCTTAGAGAGTGTTCTAGATTTTTCTAATAATCTCTTCTGTGCCGGCAGCCGGGTTCTCAGTTCTCAACTTTTTCTAGCCACACTATTACACACTCAGGCGGACAGCCCAACACACAGCTCTATCCAGCGACACCGGCCTGTATTACATCACAACACAGCTATGTGTAGTGTCGTGTGAGCACGTGACATCGTCACGTGACGCTTGGTGATGTCACGTGACCACAGTTAGCAACGCACGTGACGTCGCGTGACCTGGCGTGACGTCACAAAGCGGCTCTGTAATGCATCACGTGGGCTACTGTCGTGTCACGTGACTCACATCCGACCAATGACAGGACTCTGCTGACCAACGTCATAGAGCGGACTTTGTCCTTAGAGCCACTGGATTTTGATATAGTAATAGATCATGTGTGTTTGGAATTGCTCGGGCATTCCCTCCATGTCAATTATCGGGGGAACACCAGAATTTTTATTTAATTGACGGAGTTTCCCGAAAAAACCCAACGCAGGTTATTATTACTATTGTATGACCACACAAAGCCTTGAGCTGCCAAATTAATGGCCAATAATTATAGAACACGACTCTCAGAGTGTGTGTGACCTAAAATACCATGTACATTGGCATGGAAGTGGGTTGTATTAATATTGGTCGTGTCAGGAGGTAAATGCGGTCTAGGTGACGTGTCCTAGGTGACCGGGTGACGTGTCCTAGGTGACCGGGTGACGTGTCCTAGGTGACCGGGTGACGTGTCCTAGGTGACCGGGTGACGTGTTCTAGGTGACCGGGTGACGTGTCCTAGGTTACCGGGTGACGTTGCCTGGGCCTGGAATACTCGGGCTCCTGGTTGCGTTCTGAATCATGTAGTGTTGTGGTGGAGGGACCCTTTGTAAACAAATTAACATTTTGCACTTAGGTACTGTAAATCATGCACAATACTATCATAGACCATGGCTACATAGTATAGAGTCACATGTTCTGTTGTGAATAACCTAGTGACATTGGATGAAATAGTCGAAGGTATGTGTTTCTAGACTGCAACTGTTGAAAAATTGTAAAAGTGTTAGGACTAAAAATACTTTAAACCTTGTGACCTCAATATCCACAATCCACTTTACACAAACACAAAACTTGTTTTTAGCAATGATTCGTTATTATTGTTTTTTAAAACTGAGCATCGTTATTAACGAGGTAGACCCTTAGATATTATTCGCTTAGAAGCGAGCGTAAACTTAAGTCAATGATATCTCTGAATTCTAATTCACAGCCGCCCATAGAATTTAAACTTCGTTATTCGCCTGCAGACGTGAGGTTTATAAATTATAATGTCTACATTTAAAAAATGTATTCTTAAATTCTTCACAAAAACTCGAGATCATTTGACATAACCCAGATCTCATAAATCATTTAAAACATCTCTTATCAAATCTCAATCCTTCTATTCTGACATATTGGTTTAAATGACACGATCCTTCCAAAACATTACCTTTGGAAATATAATATGACTGATTACATTGCATCGGTTGCTTGAAAATATAATCGCATACGTCAGCTGCTATTTCAAAATAAAGTAGCAGTACCACGAACCATATCAACAAATCACGTGACACAAATCACGTGTTACCATGACCACGTGTTACAAACCACGTGTTACCATGACCACGTGTTACGATATTATATGTCAATACATACCCCTAGCATCCGTGGTACTACTTAGTTACAACACTCGGTTCCGGGGTTAGTTCCATCCAAGTTTCGAATTACAGCGGAGTGTAATCAGCTGTGGTGGTTCGGTAATACCACTGGCATATGTTTTGGGTGGTGACGTCATGGTTGCGTTTATGGAGTTATATCGCCAAGATATCTTGGAATATTGTTATAAACTTAACCAATTATGAAATTTAAGGACTAAGGAGTCTAGTCTCTACTGTGGAGACTGGAGTACACCACTGTAGAGTTGGCATTAAGGCACACATTTTTTAACTCAAATTGTTTTCTTAAAATTATTAAAGATAAAATGTTAGGAAATTCTGTTCGAATTAGAGACTTATTTGTCTGGTGTGATAACAACAATCTATGACGATTACAGAAAACAAAGAGGCGCAGGCATGGCCTTGATGTGTGCTCGTTAATTGGATATATATGTTAACAGTTATCGCATTGTAATTGCATAAACGATTTGTCAATTTCGTGTTATTGAAACGGATTCTTCAACGTCATATGATATATAGACTGTTAAAAAATACGTGACCACTATTACTTGCGGATACGTTGAGAAAACGATTAACACCACCACCAAATTCTAGAAAATATGTACATTCTTGTCAGGAATTTATACAATTTACGTGTAAAAAGTAGGAGTTTTGTCCAAATTAATAGGGTACTAGAAGAAGAGCTGTTCTAGGAGTTTACTGCAGATTGTTTTCAAATTGTACATTTACAAACTTATGGCTATGCACCGCAATTCATACCAGCTACTTAGAACAGGGCCTCCTTAATTCCTCACTCCGTCTTGCAATAATATAAAATCAAAATCATCACCAAATCGCCTCAAATTTGAACCAACTTATTCCCGGCTGAGTAACAAATAGTTTCTCTGTCTTTTCCAAACTCAGGCGCTTATCATCGAATGTATTGAACAATCATCAAACAAGTCTCTGAACACACAGTTTTATATTTCTAGAACTTTCCCTTGTAGCGACTAATAGGTTCAGGTATTCGCACCTTTCCTCAATAGACTTCATCAGCCTTCAAGTGTATAACTCTGTATCAAGGTAGTGAAGACAAGGAGTTGCTAATAATATCAAACAGAAACTGTCATGACTAAAAGGGACGATATACGCTAGAATATTCCAGGTGCAAACAGTTCATTCCCAATAATAACACCCTACATCTGGAATCTGGATTCATATCTAATATCTTACCACGTAACCCACTGTTAGAATTGCGCAGGAAACAAGATTACCAGGTTACCAGGTTACCAGGTTATCAGGTTACCAAGGCAACAAGGTTACCAGGTTTTGTCTACCCATGTATCATACAATGTAGTCCGGTGTTTCAACCGTCCACCCTCTCCAGGAAGATACTTGACGAGTTGGCGAGTGAAAGTGGGACAGGCAGTGACAATAAACAGGACAGCAAGCTGAACCTGGCCGTCAGCCTAAACGAGAGTCACAATGCGCAGGTATCTCAACCCGCGGTCATCACCATCAACAACAGTAACCTGGCCCCTCCACACCAACAGCAGATATTAGCTGGTGAGTTAGCACTTAGCACCCTATAAGGTTACCAGGTTACCAGGTTACCAGGTTACCAGGTTACCAAGGTCACCATCAACAACAGTAACCTGGCCCCTCCACACCAGCAGCAGATATTAGCTGGTGAGTTAGGTGGGCAGTGGACAGGCCTGGGCATGTTAGAGCATGCATGAAATGGGAGATTTAAAGGGCTGGGAATAGGAGTAGAAATCAAGGTTGGGAATTGAGGGGGGGGGGGGGGGGGGCTTCCAGCCGGTAAGAAGAATGGAGAACTCTGAATTTGGTTTAAAATACAATTTTAGCAGCCTTTTTTTCACTATATTGGCTGTTTAAAGGGTGTATTTTTATTTTGTAAGAAATTGATAGCATTTAACAAAATGGTATTATTGTATTAAGATCTTGATTATGGACCCTCTTTATTTTGAAGTATAACAACTCACACACGATTTTGCAAGCATTTATATTGCCCTCAGAATAAAGCATCTGTATATTTCATTCGGGTAGCTTAAGTTCCTCCTTTTAATAGGTTCTTAGCTGCAATCTCATTGGTCGGATGTAAAATGCTCATTATAAAAGGAGTTCCATGCCAATGATTTAAACTAGCTTAAAACTAGTGATTTTAAGTAATTTGATTTCAGTAAATTTAATTTAACAATTTTTTGCTTTTAAATTCCCGCCGGCTCTGGTATGACGTCAATGACTAGGCGGGGTCTCGTCAATAAGTCTCATTATAGATATGGTTCAAAGAGTGCAACATAACCGCTCACGTACCTCTTAATTTTAATGAGGCTTAATATTTTATTACGCAAGAAACCTAGATCATAAGCTGCATTATGTCGACAGTTGATCACAGGTCAGCCTAAACCCTGGCAGATTAACGATGCGGGCGTTGCACTATCAATTTTTCGACTACGTAAAAGCCATCATTTAATTTTTGAGAGCCATGACGTCACAGAGTTTATTGAGGTGGGTGAACGAACACTGCACTGGTTAGTGGTTACCATGGTTACGCCTGCGCGCCATGGTTATCCCGTGCCAGACACACCCACCCCTACCCTAACCTGATATAGTATTAATATAGCTCTCTAAATCGACTCCTAACGTTGGTATTAACTGTTAAACTTAATCAATGTTACAACTGAAGATTGGCGAAATTAATGACAAGTTACTTGATATCATGACTCAATAACTGAACATTCAAGTGGTTAATCCCTTTAATAGACCAGTTGTAGTTATTCCCCCTGATTAACGAGTTAATTAAATTAATTAGTTAATTATTCTAATTAATTAGTTAATTATTCTAATTAATTAGCAAATTATTCTAATTTCTCTCTCTTAGGACCTCAGACGAGTAACATGGGCGGTTTATTCCACACTCCGGTCATAGTAACGTCAGATGTAATGTCAGTGTTAGCGTCAACCCTCACAAACTCCAGCAACTCTGGCGGTCAGCCAACGGTAGTCGCCCTCCCTCAGGTTAGTAATTAACGATAATTAGGGTAATTAGGATAATTAGTTAATTAATTTGCAGTTAAATAGTTCTGGGAAACTTACTCTGTTGGGAACTATTGGAATTCAATAATTTTGAACTTTGTAGAAATTTCTACGCTGTAGAGAAAGGTTGTCTGATGACCTCAGCTATCTTTATGATTATATTAACATAGGTGTGATTCTTATTACTATGTACTAGCAATGAAATAACATTAAATTATATGGTTTTGACATATGTTGGTCTGGTCACAGCGGCTTTAAGACTCCATCGACAAATTATCTACTAGATGATATCGAATTTAAATTATTACGTCAGAAAGTTCTCGAAAAGAAAAAAGTTCTCGAAAAGAAAAAATGTTTTCGTAAAGGGTGCCAATTACTTCACGTAATTTATTTCTGCTGCAATATTCCGGTTTCGGTAACCCGTCGCCATGGTGTGGGTAAATGCAGCAAACCCCCTTATCCCCATTGTAATTGTATAGGCCTAAAAATTGTACTACATCCACATGTAGAGTATATCTATATAGCCTAAAAAGTCCCCCCAAAATTTATAATATTTTGAGAACCACTTTTTTCTGAAACATTACCCTGCAACTAACATAAGGTTTGTTTTCACTGCCCCGGTATCTTGGACGATTTGAATTAGAAGAGTTGTATTTCGCAATAATAATAATATTAAGAAACTATTGGTTTAGTAATATTAGCACGGAGATGACACGGTCTGACAGTGAACCTGCATTGGATTGCACGACTTTTCAAGATATTCTTTGCTGGCTCACCTATAAATCTATTAATAGCTCGTATATCTGTACATAATGATTTGGTAACATGCTCAAACTCTTAGGTTTCACTGCCAAATTTACCTGATGCAAGCAATGCTCGTTAGGAATGATAGAATTAGTAACATTTATTAGCACTCAGCGGAATTTATCAGGCTGATAACTCTGGGAACATTTCCTCCTTTCATTAAATTAATAAATTTGATCCTTACAGAGTTGATATAAATAAGAGGAACTAATAACCATCTTAGATCAATTAATCAATTCCAAGTAAATTCCGCAAAGTTAGTCTGCCTCATTTAGAGAACTAATAAACCGGTATCTTTGACTTTAACATTAAATGTATAAGCTATATAATAATTTGTGGTTACAATTTTTATAGTTCCTCAAAATTATTCTGTTTATTTCGTGGTGATGTCGAGACGAGGGTTGATGTAAATTTTAACGTTTTTCTTTTGATCGTTAATACCATGCTGCTCTGAAGAGGTAAAAGCTATAATTGCGTAAATCCGTCTAGATTAACCAAAATTGGTGAGTCTTTTGCAAAAGTGGGGGGGGGGGGGGGGGGGGGGGGGGGATTATGGACACTTTATTTTAGGTGGGGATTAGTAAACCTGTAATGGGCTGAAATGAGTCTCAAAAGGATATCATCATAAATTTACATTTTCATTTAACAATTATATCAAAAAATATTATGATAGATCGTTCACACAAAATATAAAAATAAAATTAGTCTATATTATCTATAATCTACATTGTATATTAATCAGTTTTATAATTTCTCCACTCCTGTCTATTTTACATAAATTAATAATAACTATGACACCCCCCACAACACTTACCATCATCCTTGATTACACATCTTGATTCCACCGGCATCCTCCCACAGGACTGCCATACCCCAGAGGTAGGCAAAGCATTCATATGCTATCCTCTCGTGGGCCAACCAGGCGGCAGGCCCAGCCTCTCTTAAATAATTTTTAAAAATTTAAAAAATAAGAATAAAAAATTAATAATAATTTTATCACAGTGCTGGCAAGCACGACCGGTGCATTTATTGTGGGTATACTATGTACCCCCTTTACTATTATACCCCCTGGCCCTTTACTATTATACCCCCTTTGGTACACGTTACAAGCCTCTTTCGTGCACGCGAAGCGTGCACTCCGGCCGGAGGCGGCGGCCGAAGGCCGCCGCCTCCGGCAGGAGTTTTTCAGGCATTAAGACTCATCGGAAGTCGTTCGACAGATTTATTTTTAGTTCAAAACATTCTAATTTGATGTCAAAGATGACAGGAATAAAAAATAGTTACGTTGAGATTTTTAAGAAATTTGCATAAAATACTCGCCAGCACTGTTATACGAAATTCGGTAAAAAACCCAAAATCGCCATATTCAGGTGCCTTAAAAACCATGTTAAAATTGAGTTAGAGATCTGAAATTTTTTAGGACGTCTAGACGTTGACCAAATCGATTGCAAAAAAAGTTTCAAGTTTCAGGAGCATCGGGAAATGGGTTTTCTAGAACCCCTGTTTTACGACAGATTGTCGTGATACATACATACATACATATATTCAGGGATAGACGCTTTGCCAGTCAATTATAGGCTACATTCAGGTGTCTGTAGATTTGTACCTATAAAAGATACAGCCATTTCCGACCACAGGTCTTGCAAATAATTGTTTACACTTTAGTTTACATTGTATAAAAAAATTATTTGACGTCATAAACACCCCTTGATGACGTCATCAAGTTAACCGTTTTTAAAACTTGATTTTTGACAAAGTAATAACTTTTAAAATTAATTTTAAACCATTAAGATGTAATTTTATTCAAAATCTGAGGAAATTTTCATCTTAGATAATTGTTCAAGCATTCTGAAAATCTACCGGAAAGTTTTTCTAGCTTGCTCCTTCATAAAGATATTCGTTATTGAAGTTTGTGCTTTTTTGAAGAATTATTTTATAAAAACGTCAATTTTGCGATTTAGTATTCTCTGGTGTTGGGCCATGCCTTGGGTTGTGGAGCTCATTTCTGCTTCTTATAGGTATAAATTGTGCATTAGGCTAGTTTTAAAGTTGAAAATCGAAAAGTTGCACACGTGGGGACACGCCCAAATTGAAAGAAAATTGCTAAAATCACTGAAAATTGCTGTTTTCGTCATTTTCTGTCAACTTTAGAGTGCCGTTGTGATTACAGTTCTTCTTGAAATACTTTGAAACTTTGCATGCTTATCAAGCTATATATAAAACAATTACATGCACAAATTTACGGCGATTCAATATTGGATGCGCACGCAACGTCCGCTCAAAGTTTGCACGTGCGAAAGGTGAGAATTTTGCTCATTCGTGATTTCCAACAAATTCTGCTTTGCCACGACAGTTTAATGTCATTATATATGAATTTAATGCCAACTTGAATAAGTATTAAGTGGCATATTCAGTCAGTGATCGACCGATATGCTTCCCTAAACACAAGGATATGTTTTTAAAGGAAAAATTTCGAAATCGTTGAAACTTCCTCCTTATTAATGAAGAATCAGTTTATATTTCGACTTTATAAAGTACCCTGACATTATAATCAAAAAGAGATGATATTTTACCAAAACCCATAATCATGGGTAGAGTGGACCGCTGCCAGTGTCTCTCTTTCCCAAACAAAAGGAAATGATATTAATTTGATTGACCGTTCTCAAATGCAAAATGATACCGAGAATGAAATCGGTCGCTCGCTTTTCCCATTCATTTACAATTGTAATAGATTAAGAAGAACTACCCAAAGGCAGCTGTACTCGGCAATGAAGATTCAATAAACTCCAGCTTGTTCAATAAGTAATAACTACCACCCTTGTCCCTTACCCCGAAATACTAGGTATCGACCCGAACGCAACCCAAAGAGATTTTTACAGCATCTGATTGATGTAATCAATCGAAACTTATTTATACAATTCGTAAGCCGTGAATGAATGGGAAAAGCGAGCGACCGATTTCATTCTCGGTATCATTTTGCATTTGAGAACGGTCAATCAAATTAATATCATTTCCTTTTGTTTGGGAAAGAGAGACACTGGCAGCGGTCCACTCTACCCATGATTATGGGTTTTGGTAAAATATATAATATACAATCAAGGCGGTAGACATCCAAGTACATATTTCGTTATCTGTGGTTATAAGGAAAAAATCTGATAAGAAAATGAGAAAAGAGATGGACGATTTCAACACCAATCAACAATGTTCCAAGTTACGAAATGCCCAAAATGCCCTTAACCCCCCCGGCCCCCCTCCCTCCCACTCGACCGCTGTCTCCAAATAAGGCTCTCACCCGCACCAACAACGCATCATGTCTCGTAAATCTAATTGCCTCACCACCACTAGCGCGCCTCTGTCTTCGTGGACAACCACCCCTCGTAATCTGCATCAAAATCGCTCTCTCATTAAATTTAGTGAGCAGTTAAAGGTATTTAATACTGGAGTTTTTGGTGTCTCTGCTGAGAACGACGGTAATGGCAGCATCTATTTACCATCGAGGACGTATCATTTATGTGTCGACTTTTCTGATGTGACATAGTCAGCGTGATCTGACGCTCATTCGCTCTCTCTATATCTAGTTTGACGCGTTGTACCCCGCTCAATTTTGCTCCCTCTACGGTATAAATGTCAAAAATAAGTTTAAATCATCACTTGCTGGGCTGTGATATCTTTAAATTTTACGGAAAGATCGGCTTCGAACGTAAGATGCACATCAGATCACACGCACACCTTGCAACAAAGACAAGTATTAAAACACCACTTGCACTACAAATACTAACAAGTTACAAAACTGCTCCCTCCCTCCTGAACTTTAACCTCCCCTTACTTTCGCTCCTACCCGCATCATTACCCTCTCGGCTCGCTTTCGTAAACGTTTCTCTCCTGTCTGCCTTTTAAACTTTCGCAAAACGGTTCTCCCTTGGACTGTGACTTCTAGATCTCTGCCTGCTCGTAACTCTTGACCTGCCCGCTAATAGCATGCGTCTATTTTCGAAAATGAGCGATCACCCAGCGGGAGGCAGCATTATCTTCATCATCAAGCCACATTATCCAAATAAGGTCTGATCCATTCTTCCTTTCACTCGGTTATGGTATAATGTTATTGGTGGTGGTGGTGCATCCTGAAAATTTCAATCAAACTCGGCAGTTGCTCCCTCCCCTTCTACCCTCGGGTTGATTGAGTGAGGGGTTGTGGTGGTTTTGTTACTCCAGGGCGGGGCGAGTTTTGGGATTGTTTTTGTTTTGTGTTGTGTTGTTATTGGTTGTATGTGATCATTTTTCGAGTGATGAGTTTCCGAGAGGGTATAAGTTTTTGTTTTCCTGTTCTTTGACATGATGGCTGTAGATCATGGATGACAGCCGAAGCTGTATTTATAGTTGACACTTGACAACAGCATAAAGATCACATTTATTATTGCATCAGTTTTGTTTTAGTCGAGTCATGATATTATATTCACTATTGGTTCCCCCACCTGTTAGTACTGATATTATATTCACTATTGGTTCCCCCACCTGTTAGTACTGATATTATATTCACTATTGGTTCCCCCACCTGTTAGTACTGATATTATATTCACTATTGGTTCCCCCACCTGTTAGTACTGATATTATATTCACTATTGGTTCCCCCGCCTGTTAAAGTACTGATATTATATTCACTATTGGTTCCCCCACCTGTTAGTACTGATATTATATTCACTATTGGTTCCCCCACCTGTTAGTACTGATATTATATTCACTATTGGTTCCCCCACCTGTTAGTACTGATATTATATTCACTATTGGTTCCCCCACCTGTTAGTACTGATATTATATTCAATATTGGTTCCCCCACCTGTTAGTACTGATATTATATTCACTATTGGTTCCCCCACCTGTTAGTACAGATATTATATTCACTATTGGTTCCCCCACCTGTTAGTACTGATATTATATTCACTATTGGTTCCCCCACCTGTTAGTACTGATATTATATTCACTATTGGTTCCCCCACCTGTTAGTACTGATATTATATTCACTATTGGTTCCCCCACCTGTTAGTACTGATATTATATTCACTATTGGTTCCCCCACCTGTTAGTACTGATCTATTATATTCACTATTGGTTCCCCCACCTGTTAGTACTGATATTATATTCACTATTGGTTCCCCCACCTGTTAGTACTGATATTATATTCACTATTGGTTCCCCCACCTGTTAGTACTGATATTATATTCACTATTGGTTCCCCCACCTGTTAGTACTGATATTATATTCACTATTGGTTCCCCCACCTGTTAGTACTGATATTATATTCACTATTGGTTCCCCCACCTGTTAGTACTGATATTATATTCACTATTGGTTCCCCCGCCTGTTAAAGTACTGATATTATATTCACTATTGGTTCCCCCACCTGTTAGGTTTAGATATTTTATGTCAGTGTTTGTGAGGGTTAATGTATTGTGATAAGGCGGAACCTAAATCACCATCCGAGCACTCTAACATGATCGAGGTCAAGGTAATTATGACGTAATTGTTACACAATTATTACGTAATTGTGACGATATTATGACGTAATCATATGATAATTATATAAGGCTGCTTAGTACTGAATAGAAACAACTTCTCTAAAGCATCTGGCTATTACACAGAAACTTCTGTTTAATCTCTAGTAGTATCTCTTAGAATAATTTGTACTTAATTGACATTATTTTCGATTACACTTCGAATTAACAGGCCCAAAAAAATACAGGTTGAACCTATTAAATATAACTTTGAGGTGTATTTCAACATTTTAAAATCATCATCAGAAACACATGAATTTAACTGGTTAAAATAACAGGAAGCTATAACTGTAATAAATTTATACATTTTTATGTTATTATAATACTAAAAGACCAATGAGCGGATCTAAAATTGGTCCAATTCACATCTGAAAACGGTCCACCAGGCTTTGTGTTAGGTCTAGAACTGTAAATATGGCTTTGTCAGTGCTTTGTCAGTGCTTTGTCAGTGCATGGGTAAAACATAGTGCACATACCTCACACATAACATAACACGTTTGCTTAAGTATTTCAGTTTTAAACACATGTTAGTAGGAATCTTTATTTGTTACGCTATATTGTGGGTTTCCTGGTAGGTAAAATGTTACCGGTTTTAAGTTATATCGGGAAATTTTTAGTCTTCCACGTACAGTTCATATGTAATTGTTATAAAATTATGGTATAAATATAATAATCAGAATCGTGTGCAAAAAATGCGCCGTATGTTCTTGCGATTTGCAGAAGTTTTGACGAAAAATTCCCTGAATACAACCGCAACTACCTCCGGATAGTGCTCCTCAATCAATCAATCATTGTGCACTAAGAAATCGAATATATTACTATTGGGTTTCCCAAAAAACGGTTCCACGAATTTTCCCTAAAATTCCACAAATTTTGACTCCTGTGACGTATCAAATCAAGTGATTTACGCAATGGAATGCTCTTGTGGAATTTTGTGACTTCCCTAAATCTATTTAGGGCACAGTATAAAAGTATTTATATTGTTCCTGTTTATACTAATTCTCTGGTAATTACTAAGTTTTGAATTTTACGGAGATATCTTCAGATATATCATAGCATCTTACGAACATTTGGATAGCCGGCGTTCTTTTATGCCCACATATCATTTGTTAAAGTTTTGGAATTTCAAAATCGACCAGGACAAGTCAAAATGACGAGGAACTTTGTCATTTGTTAATTAATTGACTCGTTAGTTTAATTAATTAAATCGTTAGCGACAAATTAATTAGCTCATTAGTACGGAATCATGTCTTGATTTCTCATTTTCTGGGGTAACTAATGCATAAAAAATGATTTTTGTAGGATTATGTAATATAAAAAGGATTGTACAATATGTGCATGATTGGAAAAGTTTGCACAAGGATTAAACTTTCGTCCCGCCAAATTATAAAACGTGGCCAGGATTCTTCTGGTAATTCATGTCCAGACTGGTTCTGAAACTATGACTTTGTAAAACTTGAGCTAAATCCTCAACACGTAGTTGGAAAGAAGCCTTTTTCAGTTTTTCACTGTCTCCCGCCAGTTTTGAGAATCGAACAAATACTTCAGAATCGAAACTTGTCGCAGTAAATGATCTCTTGATATCATATATAATACGACAATAGTCCTCTGAAACCCTTTTAAGTTTCCTAAGCACTGGTTATTTCTGTACACTAACAGCTGGCAAGTTATCGGCACACAGTTACTCCATCATTCCCCGCCAACTTTCGTGTTACCGTCAGAGCTGTGACGTCACGGTGACGTCACGAATCTACACAGAATACTGGCTACTCACAGTTAAGATTGGTAAATTGAGCAAGTTCACGCAGCACAATGCATCCCACGAAAGCAAAACCTGGTCTTTAGTCAAGTGACGTGATAGTGTGATGGAGTTCCTGTGTTATATCGTCCAACGGAAGCCAATAAATTGGTATCTTCATGTTAAGAAAGATGATACATTTAAAAAATAAATACAATCGAATCAGATTATGCCATTATATTACTTGATGAGAGCGACAAAGGAATCTGCAGGTTGATGAACACGAGAGCAAAATAGCTGGCTTCTGAGTTTTGATCATTTCGTGATTTGTGCAATGCTTTTCGATCGATCTCCGTCGAGTCCTTTTAAGATTGTAGGTGTAGATTTTACCTGCACTGCTCCTTTAATTTCATCAGGAATGGTTAGTATTTGTCAGTGGTTGTCAGTAGAGTGAGTCACGTGTAAAGCATTTGCCAAGTTCTGTCAACTATTTAAATGGAATGCAGATTAATAGTTCCGAGTTCTTTGTCCCTTAAAATGCTCTCTGAGTGGTGAATATCTTAGTTAAGCCGGAGAATGTTTCTAAGCCAGAAAATGTTTCCTTAAAATCGATAAAAAAGGGAACATGATAGTTTCCATCAGTTGTAGGATATGGATTCTTGAATTGTAGAATATATGTAATACCTTGGACATGGTTAATCGGGTCATTCGCCGCGCCGCAGGTTATGGAAAGAGCATTGTTGCCAATTTTGTTGTTAAAACCAATTATCCAAATTAATATAGAATATACCAATCAGCTTCAATTTATGTACAATAGTCCCAACAGAGAAAACAGTTAAGCTCAATTAATCAGCCAATTACACATCAATTATAAATCAATTATAGTAAATTAATTATCAACTATTTCAGGGAACCAACTCAGACCAGTCTGCTACGATCATGAGTTTCAACAACAGCCAGGCAGACTTACAGAACCTGAGCGCAACCCAAGTACTGAGTAATGTAAGTTAACTTCACTTATTTAACTAACTTAATGTTATTTAACTTCACTTATTTTACTTAATAACTTCACTTATTTAACTAACTTATTTGTATTTGGTAAGGATATATAAGATTTTGTAAGCTATTCGTTATTTGTATTCTGATATGACACTGAGTATGGCTTGTAAGTAGTCGGATTATTATTAGTTCTTCGTACAGTAATCGACCGGGATTCCCGGCGCCGTGAAATCCCGGCACCGGGGGAGCTATTTCTTCCCGGCCCCGGCCGATTTTCAATTTTTGCCGGGAATTTGGCCGGGAATTTTTGATCAAAATCGGCCTAAAACTTTCATATAAATCTTAAAATGGATTTTCAACATTATATTGTCATGTAAAAATAAGTTCAGATCCTAAGTCCTGAAAAGTTCTAACTTGGCCGTGGATTTATTAAATTCACGGCCCCGGCCCCGGCCAAATTCCAGAACGGCCAATTCCCGGCCCCGGCAAAATTTGGACATTCCCGGCCCCGGCCAAATCCTACCCCCGGTCGTTTACTGTCTTCGTATACCTTATAAATATTTTGTTTTATGATTATTTTTTCCATGATATTTACATTCATAAATCGCGATTTTGTTGATAAAACAGTTTCTCATCAAACTGTTTTACTAAACCACTAAGAAATCTTCAACATGACAGATCTCACATCACGCTAAGCCGTAATCTAAAAATAGCAACGTTTTGACAAATTCATTTTCACTGTGACACACCTAGCGAGCGTGATTGGCTGGCACCACATGCCGTTTTCTATCCTATACAAATACCAGCCCGGCCCACCGCATCGTCGCAATTATCATAATATACTACGGTCGGGACCTGCATATTTTTCTAAGAGTGTCCACCCTGACAATTTACCTTTTGCATTTTTGGAGTACATGTACATATTTGGAGTATATTTTACCAAATTATTCCGGCTCGCGTGAATGTTTTGACTTGATTCGTCAATTCGTGACGCACATACCAACGTATCCCTTCCTTGCACGTATTCGAACACTACGAAACTGCAACCACGATGCTGTGACACGCTCTTTAACTGTAACTATATCTGAACCACGTGACAGCCACGTGACAGGCCCACTTTAAACACACCATCGTCAATGACTCAGCAAAGCGGTCAATAAATCATTCTTATTTCGACGAAATTTTCATCTCAAAACTTTACAAGCATCGCATTGATCGACACAATCACTTTTTTAAAGTCTCGCTTACGAACACAGATTTATTTGCGTCGAATCAATGACATGATGTCATGACGATAATTTTGTCATGCTCACGAGGAGAAAAAGAGAATTACCGTACGAATTATTATATCTTTATCAGTACAGCAGAGCAGCGCACAAACAATGACCTCACCAACCTAGTGACATTACATCACCACTTAGATTGTTAAGATATCGCCACGTCGCATATTAGATTAAAGGCCGACCCTCTTCTATTGTTATACCACACCGTGACCTCATCTCAGGACACCATACATAACCGTGACGTCACTGCCTCGTCATATCATGAATCAACAAAACATTGAGTCCGGTTGACGCGTTATGAGGTTATGACGTCATGTCATTATGACGTCACATTTTCCCAGTATATATGCATCACTCCCCATGCTCACCCTCATTCCTAAACTACTCTCTTTAAACTGACGATGATCCAGGTTATCCAGGCTCCAAGGACCGCTCTGATAACGACGCCTTACTACAACATCCACCGGCCGCCCAACAACCAGGTAATTACTAATTAGGAGCCAATTATTGCATAATCATTGCATAATTAGTACATGCTTATTACATAGCTATTACATGGTTGTACTGCACTTAAATTCTGTACATTTTAAATGATTTTAGAGCGTAAGAGATACGATTTTGTATACTATCATTGGTTGGCTGTATTCAACAATTAATCACCATACACGATTAATTGTATGAATACACAATTAATTAATGATCGATTACTAAATCAGGCTTAATTAATTAATTAATTAAATCAGGTGGTAATGACCCAGGGAATACCGGGCGGTAACCACCAGACCCCCCAACAGTTAGCCGATGAAGCCAGCAAGAAGCGGGAAATACGGCTCATGAAAAACAGGTAATTGGGAGTTAATAGTCCGTTAATTGGTTGATTCAATTCGGCTGGGAAGTCTTTTATTTTGTTTATTGTTGGGTTTAAGTGGTGTGGTGGAATTTTAATTGCTGTATTGTCTAACGCTTTTATTCCTGTTTTGCTGGAAACGTAACAGCTTTTTATTTGAAATGATTATGAGATTAACATACACGGCGAGAAATCCCACATACCTGTCTTTGTGGACCGTAAATGTGCGGGAAATAACTTAACACGTCATATGAATGTGCTAACATATTTTCCCGCATATTTACATATTTCATCACATATTCACATATTTAACCACCCTCAGAGAAGCAGCACGACACTGTCGAGTAAAGAAGAAGGAGTACTTAAAATGTTTGGAGGAGCGGGTGCAAATTCTTGAGGGCCAAAACAAAAAACTTATCGACGAGCTCAAGGCTCTGAAAGAATTTTACACCCAACACAAGAAAGATTACCCCGAACACAACATTTGAGGAACATTTCTCATGAACTTAAATCTCCCTGGGATCTAAGATACATATCTTGATGTACCGTGCTTACTACGTGAGATGATATCCGGAATTATTCAGAAGATACGGATCTTTGAGATGAGATCGCTGTATTTGTTGTGGATTATGATAATATCTCGCTGAGTATCAAGAGAGAAAGGCTGTACATATTTTACATCTGTCATGTGGTCGAGGAATCTGCGTGTTGGGAACGATTGGTATGCGTGGTATGAAACTCTGTGGTAAAGAATGAACCAAAAACGACAGGACTCTTACGTTGAGATGTTTCATCATGTTTTGGTATTCGAAGGACTGGCAAAGTTGTGTGCTTTTCCATCGGAATTTGAATGTCGTTAATTATTTAGTCTCAGATCTTATCGATCTTTAAATTATTGATTCTCTTATCATATTAAGATGGAACTATTAGAATGTTGTAGTAATAAGTGGGATAATTATAAAATAATAATGTGAGTTTGGTGGTAATGTATAAGGTGGAAATATTTACCCACTAAAGGTGGAAATATTGACCACTTTAAGGTGGAAATATTTACCACTTTCCTGCTGTTATACGTGTTTGTTTTTATATTGCTGAGCTTTTATATATTGCTGATGTGGTTGCTCGAAAGAAGACACTGGAGTCTTCCTGTATATACTATTAAATCGATTTATTAATTAATGCTTGATAACGAATAGCTAATTAAATGTTGAGAACGAGAGTGAGAGAGAGGTTTTTGTACTAATTAATGAAGGTGAGCAAACAAAAAAGTCAGACTTCACAGTTAAATGAATATATAAGGGCTACTACTATATCTAAATGATTTGTTTTCATTCGTACTTACATAATATATATAATATATATTGCGTTGTGGATGTATTATATAATACCGTGACCGTGATCTATGGACTAATTTTAATGCATAATTAAATCGAGATGATGTTGCGATTTTATCTCCTGAGGAAACCAGCTCAAAGCACTATCTCTGATTACATTTCTTGATTTGACCCTCTTAAGATATTTCCTCGGAACTTACGCACATTAAGGGTGTCCACCTTGCTTGCCCACTTACGGATAGAAAATTCACTTTGACACTAAAGCTTTTAATTCGCAGAGCTTACAATTCAAAAATCAATTAATCCTTATTCGTAAGAGACATACCAAACTGCTTGATATGGCTATTAATCCCTTGCTAATCAAACCCTATACTAAAATCCATCTTCTTTCTGTAAAAATCGAGCAACTTGGAATTCAAGATTTACCATTTAATTATTTAGTCTCTCTAAGTAGCCTTAAAAAGTTTCCCGATGCACACTTTTTTGCATCGGGAAGCCCTGTGATGATTTGTCTCATCAACATCTTATCTCGTGTTTTAAACGGTTGGGCTTTAAATTATTTGTGGTGATATTAATTATTTAACCCGCTGCGAAGTCTCCTATTTCTACGATTGTTAACCCCACCTGAGAACTTTTCCTGACTACTAAATCCTTTTAAAATTTTCGAAATTTTATCCGTTTTTATGAGAGCTTAAAAATGAGTTTTATTTGTTCAATATCAGTTTATAGTCTAACAAAAGCATGGCAATGCGTAGAGCCTACCGGGATAGCGTGTAGATAGTGTAGGTAACGCTGTACACGTATGTGTGATGCTATAAATGACTCAGAGGATGACGCAATCCATGCTTATTGCTAGCAAAATATCACAGTATAAAGCCAATACAAACTCAACAATCTGCGACGCGCACAGCGCGCGCTAGCTTCACGTTTTGACATCTCCAACTCTGCCGTGAGACTTTCCATAACTTGAAATAGTTTTCGTGGTCGAATGTAACTAACGATGTGATAATCGTGAAAACTTAAAAACTAACGTTATTCAAAATAATCGAAGTAACTAAAGCAACAATTTGAGATTTCTCATCATGTTAGGAATATCCAACGAAAATCAGACCGATTTAGATGATAGTAAAATAGCGGTGCGGCGCGCAATGAAAGAATTACTCCGCAAGCTTTTTAGTTCAACGATTACCTAGGCTCGTTGCTAACACTTCATCCACCTTTCTCAACCTGCTTTCTTCATTTTGTAAGACCTTATAAAGTTTTTATCAATCTTTTGTCTGTCAAAATGTCCGCCAAAAATGGTGCAAAGATCTTCAAGCAGCGATGTGACCAGTGCCATACTGTAGCAGCTGGTGGTAAGCACAAGACAGGGCCCAACCTGAACGGTCTTATCGGACGCAAAACCGGTCAAATGGCAGGATTCTCTTACACGGAGGCCAACAAGAAGAAAGGTTTGTGATTGATTCTGCCTATAATATTTAGTTACTTATAAACACTTTTTTAAGCCATTGTATCTCACCAGCGGACCAGTTAAAGTTGAAGACTGAACATTTGGTGATGTGCTACCATCTTCTGACGATGATTGATCTATTCTCACTTTTAATAATCATAGTTTCTTGTTCTAGACATTTGCTGGAGCCATCAGTCGTTTCTTTTTGACCGAATCTCCTCGACCTTCATGAATTCAAGTGCATTTAAGTTGCAAGAATGTTTCAACAATTTCCATCATGTAGGCTTATTCCGGGTGGCTCACGATAACATGCTTGTCTAAGGCACTTAATGTGAAATTGTGAAAGCCTCTCAAATAAATAGACGTATTGTGTTTTCTATCACGTGTAGATTGGAGCTGGAGTTGGAGCTACAGTCTGCACAATTCGTCCGGTTTTTCTTTCAAAAGTGGACTTACGTCAGTTGACATATTAACCGTTACATACACTGAACATTCACTGCTCGTCATGTAAGCTTGTTGGTGTGAACATATTCTTGTCACGACTTTAGAATTTAGATGGATAAACATCTTACATATGTTGTGTGCATACTTTTGTCCTGACACTCACGCCTTACCTTTTTCTGGCCACTACAGCTGCTTCCTTATTTAGCAGTTAACGTCACCATGATTGTGTTAGATCGCGTGACTTTTGGGCGGAATCGGGAAAACGAACACTGATAATACACTATTACGATTTATGTGTGCATATTGCATATGAATGTAAGACTGTCTCAACTCTCATGCAATGTTCTTATACACCTTGAGCACATAACTTAAGGGGGCCGGGGGTCTTCATCAAAATGAACGATATTTTTCCATGGGACCAAAAGCAGCTGATAGATATCACTCCCCTTTATCAGAAACAATTAGAAAGTCGATTTCGAGGTAATTTTGATAAAGATCCCCTCGGCCCCCTTAAAGGTGATCACTGTTATATAGTGTCATGGCTTTGTAGAATATCAGTTATCAGTTCAGTTTGGGTATTGATCACCAGGCCAATAGTGTAGCTTGAACTTTCCCTTTCTAAACTAACTTCATATCTTTCAAGACTTACACCTTCCAAAGTTATTGTACGGTTCACCTCCAAAAACGGTCGTTTAGTCTTTGTCAGTTGCTTCACTGAGTTTAACCATTTTCTCGTTAATAACCTAACACTATTCAGGTATCACGTGGACTCCAACTACATTGGACGAGTACTTGACCAACCCTAAGAAGTACATCCCAGGTACGTTTAATCAACTTTTCATAGATCTAATACTTTGCTGTAAATTTATAATTTGATATTTGGGTTGTTTTTTACCGTGACGAACTTACCTTTGCGTGTTGGAAAATATTTAGGGTCGATTGCTAATTCAATCGTGATTAATGATGTTGACCATGACAGAGCTAGCCTTAAACCCTAATACGATATAATGCAGATGATAGTATTGTGTGATTAAACAATGAATCATGGTACTATTAAAATATCATCCTCTGTTACAATTTGTATATTTCGTGGCTAAGTGCTACCCACTTAGTGGGTAACCTACTATTAATGGATTAAATATCAATTGACAATATGCCTGAATCTCAATTTAAAAGCAGAGAATGTGGAATTTGTCAGAATGTTCGAGAGCCCGAATGTTTCAGGGATAAATACTTGTCTGGCCTCTCAGCTATACTTTATTTCACTGTAACACTGACTCAAACGTTAATCGAGTATTATAAAATAGCTCTAGCTCATTCTAGAAAATAGTAGACAAGCACATTTTAAAGTTTGCTCCATTGAATATCTGGCCAGAGTTTGAATAGTGTTTTAACTGTTCTGCATGTATGTATTTCTAACTGGAATGATCATGAACTGCGACCGAATGCAACAAGTTAACGTTTGTTAAAAGATATTCCTGCAAAAGTCAGTAAGATAATCGACGGTGAAAGATAATGTTTAATGTTAAACTTATTGCTCTAACTCGGGTGTGTGCTTACCGATCGAACGACTGGTCAAAAAAGTTGTCAATTTGGCTTTACATCTCCAATTCAACCTACGAGTTTCAGCGAAACTTTCGATTTGCTTTTAGACTGATAAGCATTAAGCACACATCTGGATAAAATCCAAGACACGAAGATTGTTCGAACTAATAATTGGTTGTTAAACCAAAATATTTAGAAAGATTCAAAGTTACTGTATTGTTTCATACATGAAAAACCATGCCGGGCCTTATGACCTTATGAAAATAAGACAGAGGCCCTGGCAATAGCTCGGAACCGAACAAATCTCCAATCACAAAGTTCTTGTTTTTCAGTTGGTAGAAAAATTTCAATATTAGAAGCAATATTTCATATTATTCCGTTGATTTCTTGTCGAAAGAAATAAGTTACACGTAAACTCATAATTGTTAAACATCAGTCACATTTCTCGTTGAGTACATTCAAATTCGGCTTGTAATAATGCGTTAATAAGAACAGTGTATTGTAAATAATTATGTGTATTTGCAAGGCTTCATTTGGCACTCTTGAAAATACAGTACAGTGTCACTCTGCTTGACAAGAGGTGTTCTACAATTTGAGATACTTGTTATATAACTGAAACTCACTATCAATCAGTCTTTATTTCAACATGCTAAATAACAAGCTTATACATTAGAAAAACTCATTGGCTTGTTCTTGCATTACAAAATTTGTGTAAACCTGTGCTAGTGATTGTCCAATTACACGACAAATTAATAATAATAATTATAATAAGTGTTTTACGAATTTATTCGTGTTTTACGAGATGGTTGGTGCGGGCTGGGCCCAATATAATACGTAATTGTTAAACGCTATGATGTAATTGATTATTGAACAATAAGCTCATCACTTAAAACTGGACTATTCTGTACTGTTCTAGAAGTTTCCATATAGAATGTTCCAATTAGAATGTTCCAATTAGAATGTTCTAGAATTACGGACATAGCTTACACAGCTGACAACAGCGTTACTACTACTGTAGTTAATTTACAATCATTGTACGTTATGGAATTGGGTGTGTCAGGAAATACATGCTATCTATACATATACACTAAAATATGTTACATTACTTAAATGATATAACTTGTGGAGCATTGTCTGTCCAAACATTAGATATTGAGATAATGTGAAATAATGGTTGAGCACGGAAGGGTTTTGCGTACTCAACGTTTGATTATGAAGAAATCTTTATACGTCAATACACTTCATAATAAAGATACATGTACAGGAAATAGATGTACCATAGCTGTCCACACTCCAAACATCGAATACATGTACATTGTACAATGTACATTGTACGGTGTATAACTACATCAGTGTGTACAGTGTACGTGTGTGTATGGACATGGGCGTTGACTTGTAATACTGAATTACAGTGGACATTAAACTGTACAAATTGCATAATGACGGACCTAAATAGTAAATAGGTATAGTGAACTGTCTAATATGTAATTACAGCTATTTTAGGAAATATCCTTATTGGATGATTATTGAATAATGTAATAATGTATGTCTAGTGTCTACTTAATAAGTGTTGTGTGTAATTCGCTGTACAGAAACAAACTGGGTATGTTTATACCATGAACCATAATTTTTCTGATAAGAGCTCCCTGGATTCCAAGAATTCCATAATCTAATCAGAATAAATCACCTCTCCAAGTTATCTAGGTCCAACATTCTAGAATATTCCAGAAGTTTCGCCAGCTGGCGCCTGGCCGCCATGCTGAATTTCTCATTTCTTGGCAACCGGTTATAAAGTAAATGTGATTATCTGCCCAGTCATGGGAGAGGAGATTGAGTTTGTAGTGGCAGTTCTACTGACACGTACCACGGGGTTGTGTTACGATTCTAGTGGTAGTTCTTGTTACACGTATATAATTACTTAATTACTGAGAGATGCTATCTGCTGATTTGTTTTGTATAGAGGATATTTGATCTGGTCGGGATGCTGACTGTTGATGGTATACTTTAGAGATTAACTGATGAATGCATGTATAATAACTGGACATGAGCATTATAATCTAATTGTATTATTTTCAGGAACGAAGATGGTGTTCGCTGGACTCAAGAAGAAGAAGGACCGAAACGGTAAGCAAAGAGTTGATAAAGAGAATTTCTAGAATGGTCTTTAAAATTATCGCGCGATAACTTTAATTGTTGGCCTGCTTCGGTGCGCTCATCCGTTATGAAAATGTAACATGCTAATTGTATGTTATGTGCGCTGCTTCATTATCGTACCTTAACTATATATTAGAAGTTATTTATACATGTCAATTGGACATTTCCTGTATCCACAAATAGACGGTTTGGACACTGATAATTTGTTGGTAGTGAATACGGCACTAAGAGTGTCAAAAACAGTCGCTTAATTATTCAACAAGGAGTGCATTCTGATATCGTACGACTCTGGCTATGCCACCGTACAGCAAAAGAAGTATGTGACTCTATCCGTATCTAGATTCTAGAACATTCGCGAAAAAATAAAATTAGGAAGCTACTGTACGTAACGCGCGGTGATGTTAAGGCTGAATCTTTGTGCGCTCGGGTCGAGCGAGCGCAGCTAGCTAGATGCGCGCGTCGGTTATTCGTATGCATGTGGCGGGCTTTGGATTGGATTCAACTTCTCTGTTCTTAAAATATAACCTCCACTCTTTCAGATCTGATCGCATATTTGGTGAAGTCAACGAAATAGTCGGCAAGAAGACGAACACAATTTTCCACATCCTGGTCCTGACCCTTCACATCTGTACAGTGTATCTCCAAAGAATAGTTGAATTTTACGACCCTGCGCCTAGGATTGTGAGATTGTCATTTCGATTTTATAATAAACTGATGCTGTGTTGTATTTATTTATAGACGATTCATGATTGACGATTGTTAGTAGATCCGATTGTTGTACTTTACTGTCCCGCTTTTAATTTCCGCGACCTTGTATACTGTAGCTTACGTTACTTTTCCCTCTCCTAATAATGTCGTGTTTTAATTTGTGTCTGTATTCGGGTTATTACCCTCTCACTAGCTCCTGAAATGAAAGATGTAAAACGTGAAGACGTAAAACGTGGTGTCTAAGTCAGTTCCATATTAAACTTAGCATAAGTCATAACATCCAGGACAGGAATTTGTGTAAATAATTAGTAAAAGACCAGGCTTACACTTTACTGATCAGGTAGATTCAATTAAACATTCTTAAAAAAGGGATCGACAAATATACAGACAGATACTTATGCTAACTCTTGTGAGTACGTTCCCTCCCCTACAGAACATAGAAGCGATCATTCACATTACGTCATCAAGTTCTCGGCTCCGTTTAATCTCTGTTCAGCAGGAATTACAATACTATGCCTTGTCAGTTTCAGAATCGGCTTACGTAACATGTAAAAATCCCTGAATGTACTAACAGTTTAATTTACATACAGGACTTTAATTCGAGCGATTATATAGCTTTATATATTACGCACATCACAGGAAATATATTTTTACAGACAATTTCCCCGGGTAATTTAGCCCCATTGCAAATAATGGATACTAAAGTCAATTTCATGGTTAACTTAAAGGTAGTGGCATATCACTAGTTAACTGAATTATGGGCCCAGAAGGGATATTTAATCTTATATACTACCCGGAAATGGACAGGACTTTAAGCATGTTGTCTTGAACAATGAAAGACAATGAAAAGTACCATATACGTACACCTCTCGGATTAGTTCAATCGCGTGGAAATTGAGTACGTGTTGCGCGCATACCTTCAGATCCAGAATTACCGCGGATTCCAGATTTGACAGACTAAACCAACCTGCTATCACGTGACCGGCCAAATGTGACCACAGAAGATCAGGAGTCATCCCATCGTAATTATCTAATTACAGATCACATCAGACAAATTACACGCGGATATAAATAGTCGATATTACAAATAAATACGTTGACAACATACAATTCAATAATGTAAAATATGTATTAAAATAATTTAAAAAGAGCTGAAGAAACCAGAACTTCTGATTCAATAAGGCCATTAAAAATATAAAAAGCAACCCCTCACTTCAATAATCTGAGACGATATGTAACCAGGTAATTAGCATGAGGTTAAGCAGCAGCTGTCTTATTCTCGAACATATCGTATCTTGCAGCAAACGAGACAGCTTCATTATAGATCTTTAAATCTGAGGGGTAGTAAATATTAGGTGTTTTGCAGGCTAGGAGTAGTTATGGACACGTTTTTTTTAAGTGTGGTGAAAATGACTTTGAGTGCCATGACACTTTTGACAGTGAAAGTGAAATGACTAGTAACTAGAAAGTGTTGCACAGAAATGCCTTCAATCTTAACTGCTCCTGTAAGGAAAATATATTAGTTAGTTAATATGTCATAATATAATACAAAGGCAGTGCCAGTTTTCAGCATTTTGGACTATAATGTTTGAAACGCCCATAAAAAACTGAATTTTGCGACTTTTCTGTTCAAAATTCAGATTATGTCTCAGAATTATTCAAAGAATATTTGGATTTTGGTAGGAATACTTGAACTGTGCTAAAAATAAGCAAAAAGTCATTTGTTTGGTAAAATTTATAGTTTGGTTGAAGGGGTTGTACAAGGCCCATACTTTCGATCAGCTTGTGAATGAACTGTAACAACTTTCAAGAAACGTTGATCTGAAATAATGTAACCTAGGAAAAACCTAATGTGTGCCTGTATTCAGTAAAAATTCACTCGCAAAATTACAATTGATTTTTTTTTCATTGCAGTAGCTAGACAGCAACAAATTAGAACGTTTTTCAATCATACTGTCGAGATTAAGTCTGCTCAACAGTATTCTGTTCGAAAATCAAATTAAGAGTGTGTCAGTTTTCAGTAAAAAGTCATTTTTAGGTCAAATTCATCACGATTAAAAATTCAAAAGAAATGACTCTTTGCTGAATATTAGCACTATACAATTGATGTCTGACAGCATAAGCAGGTTCATCAAGATGGTTTTTTACAAAATCTAACGATATTGTGTGTTCTAATTCAGCAAAAAGTCATTTTATGAATAATATTTATAGCTTAAAATCTTTATAGAAATGACTTTTTGCTGATTATTGGTACGATAAAGTAGATTTCTGACAGCAATATCATGTTCATCATGGAAATTTGGTACATACTATTGATGTTTGAAGTTCATTGTGCCAGTTTTAAGTTAGTTATAGCAGGTTATCACAACACTGCTTACAAAGCAAACGATTTATGTGATTTACCATTGGTATACGCCTAGAAAAAGAAGTCATTTAAAGCTGAATAATGGCACACAGTGCAACAAAATTGTGCCATATTAAACAATAAAGGCACACCGCTCCCTCAAACAATATTATGAACTAAAAAGAGTGCCATTTAGCAGTAAGAATGACTATTTCTGTCAAATAAGTCACTTTTTACTGATTTCCAGGACACATATGCTGTTTAAATTTTCAGGATATAACTAAACTAAGATTTGTATCTGCACCATAAAATATTCGGTGGTTTGAGATGATTGATAATGCTGATATTGACTTACAATAATTGGTAATTCCCACGTTGGCTGCAGCAGTCACTACAGCTGATTAGTGGCACTCTAATTGTATTATCTGTTTTTGACCCCTTTATGAACACATTACTTTTCGAAATAGATGCTTAAACTAACACTAGTACACCCATGGATCAAGAAATAGACAAATTTTGTCTTTTTACATCATTTATCTATATGACTGATATATGCTGAATTTGGGCACTCGGGACATAATTGAGTGTAAGCAGTACAGAGTTCAAGCTTTCTTTTAACTGATTAATGGCACCTTCAATCTAAAAGTCAATAAGGTGACTGAATAAGAGAACTGAAATTTCGATACTTATTTCATCAATTAGAAAAAATAAATTTCAAGCTGATACATGTGTGACTTTTTGCTGATGGCTGGCACATAGACATGTAGGAATTAGTTTAAATACACAACCAAACATTATCTTATCCAGAAAAAAACACAGTCACACCTTGATCTTTTTAATATTTTGACAAGAACCATCAATAGAGCAGTCGTATTTAGATATAAAAATGACTTTTTGCTCAATTCTGTCACTTACTGGAATTGCTAATAATGACTAAAATGCTGAAAACAGTTACTCACTCCAATTTACTAGTGTAATGTGAACAATATTGAGCAAAATATGGCGAAATCAATGGAATTAGTCAATTGGAGGTTAAAATGGTTTGCTGATTTTTGGCACTCAGTTTAATTGCTCATAAGTCATATTCTGCTTGAGCCTGACACTTCGTTTTTTCAAATCACAACTGCTGAATATTTTCACTTCATCCTATGTACAAATTTATGGTTGCACTTTAAAAAGCATTGCGACTTTTTCCTCATTTTGTGCACTATACTTTGAAAAAGGTGAAATCAGCAACTCACCACACTTAAAAAAAACGTGTCCTTATAGTGGTGTTGCAAGAATGCACCCAAATAAGGGGAAATTACTCTACAAAGCGATCACGACGTTTGATAGTGGTCAGGAGGTTAGAAGCAGTTGTCAAATTAAATCAGAATTTTAACGTAAAATGATTCTTATTTAATCAGAATCTTATTGGCTCTTACAGCATACTCTTACAAATATCTCATTTATTTGAAATATCTCATTAATGTGGAATTTTGTCTAATTATTACTAACCAAAGTCATCGGAGAGTACCACCAGAGCCAAACCACTTAGTGTCCTAGCATCGTTGACACGTGCGTTTACCTCGACCATTGAGTTTGGCATTGCTTCCATCTGGAGAAGGTTTAGTAGCTATGAGTTTAGTAAACAATAAGTTTAGTATCTATGAGTTACTGTGAGTAACTAATCTAGAGTTACTTGATGGTTGCATGAAGGGTACGGGTTGGTTATGACAATTTAAGAAAATGGAATAAATAACAATATATGCACTATTTACATGCAGTACTGCTACTCTATTTCAACATAACCACTATGTTGTGTATTTAAAGGAACATCTCGGTATTCGTATCATATTACTATTGGAAATCACGTACATTTTAGAGTACAGCACATCTTTCCAGTTTTCACATACACCAATTAGTCATGAATTGAATAAAACTTATCCAAACAATACTCCATAATTGCTTAGCAATTACTGCTAATTGGCTATCATTAACACCAAATAGTTTCATGACTGATGACTCATTATGCCAAAAAAACGAAAATATATCTAATTTTAAAGACATCAAATTAGATATGACAGGGGTGTCATTCAGTAGGTTACGTCTCACTTTTGATGGCTCAAAAGCTCTTAAACTTTAAAAGCTTGAGCTATGACAGATCATGTCAAGACTTCAAGCTATTTTGGATCATGATGTAAGATAAGACTATAAGAGTGACCGCTGAGCACACAGACCTTCGGGAGAAATTTTAAACATTCTTTAGTTTACTTACAATTAAAAAAAGAAAACTTCCCAAAACTTGGCGATAAAAATGGGAGTTAAGCTTTTATTAGACATTAGCAAGATTTTCATTATTGTGACTTGTTTTAGCAATGAAAAACGTATCATGTAAGCTAAGGTGTTATCTAATGCTAACCAAATATTACTGAAAACCCGACACTCTATTTTTACTTTCGCAGCGCATGTAGGAAGACAAACGACTCTTAGTATGTACAGCGTACATCATACATACATTTAATTATGATTTCCTTACAAGCAACCATCTTTAATAGTCTACCGTAATAGTAATTAGCGATTCCACCGTCTGCCATGAACCACCATTCTTTAAGTTGCGCAACCTGTAGTAATTTCGTCTTTAAATGTTGAATTGTGAAGATGTCACCGTGGAGAAATTGATCTAATGCTTTTTTTCCGCATTGACATCAGACATGGGTGAACTGACTTTCTATCTGCAATACATGTTATCGTAGGCCTTACAGAAGACATGGGACATCATATTATGACTAGAATTAATAACACAGTTTACTACAAACCTCTGTAGTTTCAAGTATCATTTATTGAAAGAGCCTGGTGTTACAAGGCCATAAAATGGAAGAAAAAAAAGGCTGGAATTGGCAGTGGAAGTGAAAGGCCTTCGATCAATCAAACGTAAGCAAATTTTTAAAGATCGTGGATCAGATAGCAACAGCATAGGTCAAGAATAGTAAAATAAGAATATGATAATTTTACTCTTGCCGTCCCATCGCTCTTCCGTTTCTCTGCTCTGTACAGTGTTGTTTTGCTCTCTTAGAGACGAGATCATGGTAAGACCCCACAGTATGTATGCAGCATGCGAAGGCAATAATAATAGTTTCACACACTTCAGAAACACTTTCAGATCTCAAATAACCAATAAAACGCTCACACTGATTGTAAACACACTCGGCACTAGAGTCTAGAGACAATATCATGATACTCTCCGTTTCTCCCGTTTTAGAGTTTAGACCTACTGCCTGCATTGGAACATACCTTAGGGCCAATAAGTTTGGTTCACAATAAATTTGGTTACCATAATTTTTGTTACCATAATTTTAGTCACAATTCACAAATTTCGCAAATTTTAGTCACATTTTAGTCACACACAACGACAAGTTTGGTCTACCCCGTCTGAGCATTACAGATTAAGCTGCAATGCATTACTCAGGAATTTCAATCACATCAGATCCGGAGTTTGTGGCTCCATATCACTAAGTTCTTCAGTACACTGTTCAGTTTCTTTTTCACCCTTTTTCGACTTTACCATTTTTGTCGGTACAACGTAGTTTATTTCGATATGATCCTTCAGCCGTTTCAACAGAGCATGCATTGGGATGGATCGATTAAAAATGTTATGTCCAAGAGGAGCTCTAACCCTTTAAGTGCAATAGGACTTTGGTCTTTGGTACGGTTTTGTGCAGAAGAACGGTGATGTCATATTATATTAATTATAAACAATTTTAGCTTAATAATATTCATGTCATATTTTCTCTACTGAAATTTTGGTCTGCTTTAAAATTAGTCACAGAAAAATTTAGTCTCATGAAATTTGGTTTACAACAATTTTAGTCAAAATTTTGACTAAATTTATGGTATACTAAATTTGTCGTTCTTAAGGTACTCTCTAAAAGCTTTTATCACACATTTTCTGAAGAACCTGATTTTCTATCCTTAGTCTCGCAGAAGAATTTTCTCGACTCTGGTCCTCTGGAATCTGGATCTCCAACGTTTAAATCAGCATAACCATGAAAAGATGTAAAACGGGTCCTGCTCTACCCTCGATACCATCCAGTCCTGATACGATAGTTTTAAACAAGGTAAATGCGATCGATTAAATCCACCAGGCCGCCAGAGAGATCCACTAAAATGAGCTTTAAATCTTCAGCGTGGTTACAAGAACAGTATACGAGGCACCAAATTGTTCAAATTACCTTGGGTTTTAGACTAATCCAAGGAATCGTAAGGCCAGGAAATGTGTGAAACAAAAGGTTTGAAGGCAAGGAATATTCCAGACTGCCCTCTTAACGTTTCTCATCTTTTTAGAGCCCCATGGAATTAGCATAATTATGCCATAGCCCATAGCCCCGCCTACCCTAGCAGCGAGATTACTCGCGTTGCTGTATTGAAAACGCCAACTTGGAGCTGTTACTTTGACAAAAACTGGCTTTTCTAGGTGATGACATTTTGAAGTTCTTTATTTATTTTCTGATTGCCGTGCGATCCTACAGCATACCCCAGTATAGTATGGATGTCCCAAAACAAGTTGTAAACTTGAAGCTGACATCTATATCTTGTTGTACAAAAATACATACTTTGAACTTTCCAATCTATCGATATTCTAGATTCTTCTTTTAGAAATCAATGATTTGGGTTCGGATGACTCTCTGCGAGTTTTTCCTTAATTCATGTCCTATAGTAGTGACAAAAAGACTGAATAGGAATTTGGTGAAAACTCAAAATGAAACGGCAGAATAACATAATTATTTTTTCTTAGAGTATGTTAAGTTTGTTAACGTTCCTTTCGATGTATCTACAATTCATCTGTACATCGCTCACCGGTAAATATTGCTTGTTGAACTTATTTATCCTATATTCCTATCATTGATCTTTAAAAAAGTTTCCTTCAAGTGAAGGTTGGCTTAGTCATGATTCATTGACATGCATTTAATAACTGCAACAATAATTGTCATGTTTCAGTGGTTCCTAGAGAAAGACTGACTGGTGAGATAGTCCCAGTTAGTGCTGATCACTCTGGCACCTACGACAATCGCGGTGCTGCTAATTCTATAGACCTGAATTTCAAAACCTTTTCGTACACTCGATCTGATACTGACAATGCATTATGGTTAAAGGTTACACTAGCCCAGGTGTATTGTTTGAAACAGGTTGTATGGTTGGACAGGAATGCTGCACCTTCTGTCACCTGGACTTGCTCTGATACTGATTGTACTTCCTGTGAAGGTAGCCAGGCGTGGTGTGCCTTCACTCTCACAGTTTACACCGAGGGAGATTCTTCTGATAATCTCCCTTCCGTGTCTGACTGCAAGTATGGCAACAGGGTCAAGTTGCAACGCATTTCAAATAAATTGTTGCACGTATACGAGATTGCCATAATAGGAACACTTGAAGGTAAAGGAAGTTGCTCAATATGAAATCACTTCAACTTTAAAAGTTTAAAGTGCAGTGTCTATGAAATTTTTCCATTACCTTCACACAATAGGGATATTCATTGACTAACACTTAGCAATCGCTGTACGGGTAAGCCCCCCCCCCCCCCTAAAACGTCACCTGTTTTTTGGGCCCAGATTGCCGAGTTAGGGCTCAATTTACAGGGTTCTGAAGTGTCTAGGAATAATATTTAAACCTTTTTCTAGCTTGCCAGGAAGATTTGAAAATTTGAAAATAAAATCAGGTACAATTTTTTTGACGTTGAAATGGAGTCACTTTTAAAACACCACCCCTAAAATGTCAACTCTATTATATGTGTGATAATTACAAAATGTACAGGAGGCCTGATTTATCTTTTGTCACTAGTATTATTTGTTTTGTCTTATTAAAACATTAAGCTACTTGAAAACATTCACTCACTAAAGAAAGTACCTCAAAACCGTAATCACCCCCTAAAATGTCACGTGCACCACCCCTAAAACGTCAGCTAAAACAGGTTTTGTAGCACTCAGAATGTTGCTCAAATATTAATTTTAACCACTTCTGGGACAAATATAACCTATTTCTGAGAGGTGTCGACCAGAATTTCTCTCTCTGTTGAAAAAAAAATGGTGGAATTTAGTCAATTTACTTTTTGCGATATTTTGGGGACTTTTTTTTGAATACCCAGAACTTACGGCAAAACAGTAACTCAGTCAACAAAATTTACACCTGTAGTTAGATTATCTAGTTATAAACTAACAATTGGCACAAAAGAAATGGATTCAATGTGATTTTAACCTTGTGCAAATTGCATGTTTTAATTGCATTTTTTGGGATTTTTAACATCATCCTGCATTTTGGCAATTTTAGTGACCTGTAGTTAACTAAGCCAACCCAGTAATCGATCTGACCTTCTCTATAGACTAGATTTGACTGCTTTTAGCAAAATTTTTTCAAAAACTACGGTTTTTGGTACTTACTAGTTTATGGTAAACCTATGATATGCCCCCTAAAATGTCATTTTTTTTCTCCCCTAAAATGTCAAATTTGTATTTTGTTCGCATGGTGTGCGATAATAGCTCTTGTTTTGGCACTTGTTAATTATTAACATCAACTATTAACGAAATGTGAGTATGCATTGCATCTTAGGAAAAGCCTGAGTAATTTGATCAGGTTAAAATGACATTTTAGGGGGGATAATTAGACATTTTAGGGGATGTTTATTGCAATTAATAAAATAAAACTAATTCCTTGAGCTGCCAAAGCTTTCCAATATTACCATTAGATGCTAAATATGATGTTTAATAAGCTGGTACCTCCATTTTATGGTGCTTGTAGTCTCAAAGCCAGAATCTGATAAAATGACATTTTAGGGGGCGGCCAGGTGACATTTTAGGGGAGGGTAGTAATATTGAGTAATGTATAACTTTCCATATCTCCAGTCATATGTACAAAGTTGCTAAAATATGTAAATATCACTATCCTAGACCAAAACTGAGTTAATATTAATGAATTCCAGAGTTATAAAATTGTGCGCTTTTTTTCAAAAGTAAAAAATTCGTACAAAGTGAAAAAAATGCCCTTATGGCATCATTTAGATTCAAATTCAGGATGTGGCAGGGTCTGAATGATATTTTTTTATGTTTAGGAGTTACAAATGATTAGGTAAGATACTTTCTAAGAAGATGGGATCCAATCAATCAAGAGTGGCGTTTTAGGGGTGGCTGAAATTTTAGGGGGGGGGGGGGGGGGGGGGGGGGGGGGGGGGGCTTACCCGTAGAACAGTAGGCTGTCACTCTACAAAAAAATGCATATCCATACAAAATGATCAAAATGAGTCTAACAGTTATAGCATTATCACGAATTCGTCTAAATTTGTAATCTTATAATTGCTATTATTCATCAATCATTTCAGTTGCATCTCCAAAATGTGAGAATCTAGCCCCAACATGGAAGAACGTGGTGACGGAACCAGTTCTACCAGTAGAAGACGAAGTGGAAGTAACGCTGACCTGCGCTGACGGTCGGTCCAACAAGGGAGGGAATAAAGCAACTTGTCAGAGCGGGGACCTTGTCCCAACAAAGGGAGCTCCTTCTTGCTTAGGTAAGGATTTTAAATTTTCAACTTAGTAAATACAAATTTCTGAAAATTCTTAGATTTATTTGAAACACAAGGATATATTTTTCAAGCAACATATGGTCCACAAGGATTCTCTTCCCACATCATTCACCTGCCAAGTTGAATGACACGAAACATTTCGCACACATTGATGCTAACGTCGATTCTCTGATTTTGACATAGTGTTGATATTTAGGTTGTGACTCTTATATTTTATCAGAAGCTTGCTTCTGCAGGATCACTTGTTGTCTTCGATAATAATACTAAAGTAAACTAGAAATATATAATTAAGATGGGAAATATCATATTTCGGAAATCAAAGAGTGGTTATCATTGTCACCCTACACGCGTGGGGTGGACTCCTGGGGTGGACTTTTATTCAGCGCGTATTTTGTAGCCTGTTCAACTTGACGTTTTGAATCGTTACTATCTCAATGTCACAGATACACAGAATGTGAGGTGATCATCTTAAAGAGAAACGTCTCAGCTTTCACCTGGTGTAAAGTTTATCTTTGTACACAAAATATAGCTCGCTCAGTGTGCAATAGAAGTTGACAATACAATAACCACGCCCGCGACCGGTCGTCAGATACCGGAGTGTTGCACAAAATTAGGTCCCCAAATTAAAATTCTATGACACAGTTACCATGCAGAAATGTCTAGGGAAACATTTGGTGAAAATTTGAAGGGTCTACTGTTAATATTGCAAAAGTTATTGAAAACAAACTAGCTTAAAGGACCAGTTAACTGAAAAATTTGTAGTCTCCAATTTGGCTAAGATTTAAATCAGCTGTGACAAACCGGTAAAGAATCGTATCGCCGAAAGAACCAACTATCTAGCGTACGTGTAACGCGTGTTATTGCAATAATAAGCTGTGGCCTCGTGACGTCATAAAGTCCCTCAGTGCGCGCTGGCATAGCGTAATATACGTTGCAAATGTTTATCGTTGTCAATAAAATACCTGTAACTCACTCAAATTTTAGAATTACGACTATTTCCCTAGTTCTCCAAAATCCTTATAGTTTTGGCTATCATCCTAACTAAAGGAATAGCTGATTGGATGTACAGTGCTCACGTCATGATTTTAAACAGTGATATAGGTTCTTAAACAGTGGCGGGTGAATGTACGGTTAGAAAGTTTCTGCTATTACAACTTATGTCATATGTGATAATTTTGGATTGTTTTCATTGCTTAATTACACAAGCAGGGAGACTGTACCGATTATTTTTCCCCAGTCCATGAAACTCTAACGAATTTAGAAAGGATCTAGATAAGTAGGAGTTTGTTCAATTCCGAGAGCAATTATATTTATAGCATAGCGAAATTTCTAACTTTAATCCGCATGGCATGTGTCAGCCAGTATAGGAGACAAGAAGTCTGGCTACTTTACGGCCGTTCCTCTGGGACCATTAGTAGAAGTAGCTTCTATCATAACAGTGCCATGGGAACAGAATTCCCGCCAAAATACCGGGTCTACCAAATAGTAATACTGATTGGAGTGTACGGTGTGTTTTGAATTAGACTTACGGCTTACCTAGTTGTGATCCTAATTGCATTATCATAGGTACATAACATAAATAAACTACTGGTAAGTTTAAATACCAAGTGCAAACGTGTTCAGTCAATCGACCCACTGAACAACTATAGAAGTTCCAAGACCCTATTATTCTTTGGCCATATATTACGGCACGATCGATTGTTAGATGGCTAAACGACCAACGTTAATCTATACAATTCTAAAACTATGAGCTAGCACTTAAATCTAAAAATACACTTTTTATATTACTCCTGATTTTTACATTTCACGTAAAACATTGTCGCCACAGGTTGATCATGGACACTAACAGCTTAATTTGAGATAAATGGCTTATGAGTTTCTCTAAAGTTAACTCTAAAGTTGTGTAGTCCAGTCATTTATGGACATTTATGGAAATGAACCTGCAAATGTTCAGATACTCACGAAACTTTGCACAGACCTTCCCGAAGGTATGAATAAACGATTTTCGTTTGGAGACATTTTTTTGACCGTGGAGAAAACCCAGGAGGGCCACGCCCATATTGACCCAATAACGTAACCGACCCCTTGCTTCTGAAGGTCGTAGAGACTTCAAAATAGGCTTAAACGAAGCCAGATATGCATGTTTATATAGGAGTTATTGAGCAACACATGGCCTAAAATCCTTACTTTTTGAGAAATTCGCCAAAAACCATTTTTGGCGTGGTGCTGAGCCTATTTTCGATAGGATCGTGATAGAGTCTTTAGACAGGGTGCAAAAGAACCGCAATTAGCATATTAATATATGATTTACGAACAAACATATGCCTTAAAGTGCTTACTTTTTCAGTTATTGGCGAAAAACTGATTTTCGGTTCCAGAAATCATGCAAAACTATGGGTACCTGGTAAATTGGGCTATGAAGGCCCTAAAGGTTTTTGAATGTGTGCAAATTGTGCAGAATGGCCATGTTTATATACAACTTATGAAGCAACATGTACCCTAAATTACTTACTTTTCGAGTTATTCGGGGAAAACATTGTATTATGTCCATTTTCTACCTGTAAAATACAGTCTCACGAGCTCTTCTGCGCGCGCAAGGGACTTTATGACGTCATCGCCAAAATAATACAAACGCTATGTACACGTGTTAGAGAGCAGTTAGAGATTTAGGAATTTCGACTCGTTGCTTAGTTTGCTATTTGTCACAATCTGTCAAAATATGAGGATAACTTTTTTTTCAGTTAACTGGTCCTTTAATCAGAAGTTTTTGGGAAAATTTCAAATTTTGTACGTAGTGGGGTCTACTGGGGTGGACTATTGCGACGCGCATCTGATGGCGTGGCTTTTTCAACAGCAGTCAGTACGGCCAATATCAGAGCACAAATTATTGCGAGTAAGACCTTAATGGTCAGCTATGAACCCCTCACTAGAATAGTAACCGTATCTAAAAACAAGGAGATGTTATTCCGTCAAAGCTCAAATTTTTTACTCTTCTCAGTGCAGTTACTATGAATGTACTAGCTAAGTATCGTTGATCGTAGCTGCATTACACAGTAGAAGGTAACCAAGGAAGACTGCTGATTAACGAAGCAATTTCAACGTGAACAGTTCCAAAATACATAATCATGGCGACGATAGTTCAACTTGAACCTTTATAGTTTTTACAGTCTAAGATCACAATAAAATCACGTGAACTGCGAATCACAAAATCAAATCACTCAAATCTGATACAGTCCCGTTACAGTACGCTTTCGTGACAACCTCAACGCTTAAAAAATAAATATTCTGCAGTCTTGTGACCACCGATGGCCCTAACCCTCCCTTGTCCGCGAGGAGCATCGTTGCGACCATGGGTTTCAGTTCTTTGTTCTTCCCACTCGGCTTCGATAGATCGAATTGGCTGGAAGTCAATCTATCAGAAAGACCTTTGTCGATCTCAGGGGCGTGGTAAATTGTGGATGTCGGAGTATAAAGCTTCCTGAAAAGATTGAGACATTCACTCGGTCTGTTGTAAATATCGAATAGTCCTTGTAGGCAGAGATTTAATTTATGTTGGGTTTGATAACTAGAGAAGGCGATTTGATATTCATTGATAGTATAAGAGTCTGAGTATAAGCATATAAGCATAAGTGATAAGTTTATATACCCTTTTTATGGTACCTCAATATCAGTATTGAGTAATCATCACTCAAAATCTACTTATTAAATTTATTAACTGAACAAGTTAATGTATTACCGTCCTAGAGAGGTTTTCCTGAGAATTTGAAGTCTCTGTAGGTTGCTGACATGTCTACTAAGCTCTTCAATTGAGGAGTTTTGGACCCCGCGGCGGTCCAAATGATTTATAATGCTGTGGGCATTTTCAACATCTATCGAGCTAAACGCCCTCGCAGCATAACCTGTAGAGAATGAACATGTCATCAATGCAAAGTTCAATGATAAAAATCAGAGTGGCCGATTTCAACGGGCAGAATTCGAATATCATGGCCTTGGGGAATGGACTATTTTTTGTCGATTTTACTAACCAAACTGGCAAACGATTGTTGATTTTCGTCACTAGTCTAAAATGAAAGCAAACATTCGGCCGAACATTTACATGATTAAAAACTTACCGGTTTCTTTCGTTATTATGTACAGACATAGCCGGGCTTGGGTTCCGCATACGATATCTTCTATCAGATTAAAGTTGAACCCACACTTTGTACTGCTCGTGGGAGGAGGAAAGCAAACTGATACCTTTTCCATGAGCATCTCGTGTAGTACCATCATCATTTCGATTCTGATATCAGCTGCAAAATTCGTCTATTACTAAATGCTAGCTTTTCGAACTTCATATCTTGGAAATAACAACTTCTATGAAAGAACACACACACAAACACACACAAACACACACACACACACACACACACACACACACACACACACACACACACACACACACACACACACACACACACACACACACACACACACACACACAGACAGACACACACACAGACAGACAGACAGACAGACAGATACACACACCCACAAACACATACAGACATAGACACACAGACACAGCATAAACACAGACACACACAGGGGGTGATGCAACGTCAATTAATGTCAATTAATGTCAATTAATGTCAATTAATGTCAATTAATGTCAATGTCAGTTTTGCAAAATTTTGGAATACTGACATTAATTGACACGATATTTTTCGACCAGAGATTATGTAGTTCTACCATATTTTTAGCACTTTAGAACGTTTATATCATCAATTTATTCACTACTATCACATATGGAAATGTGAAATGTGAAAAAATTCAGATCATTAAATAATAAAACTAAAATAATACGGTTTTCCGAAATTAAATTTTCTTAAATGGACGTGGCCATCCAAGGGCGTGGTTCTCAACATCATCAGAACTTAAAACCCACATTAAACGAAATGCCTTCATGACATTTATATTTGAATAACGAATCTTAAACAGCTAACATTACTCCTTCATACTAAAAAAGCCGATTCTAGATATTTTACCTGTATAAGAAACCAATAAAATATGGGCGTGGCCGGTGGGGACCGAAGATGGAAGAGTTGGGAGCTGAAATTTTTTTTGGTGGTCTTTGAACCTAAGAATCAACAGATAAGAACATACTCATAATTATTCAAGGACATTTTGTTTTTTTGAACCGGTCTAACTTACATAGACGTGAATATCTTGAATATTTATCGAATAATGATAATCTCAAATTTCAAGACAAATTAATGTCAATTAATGTCAATTAATGTCAATTAATGTCAATTAATGTCAATTAATGTCAATGTCAGTTTGGGGTTTTTATGGAATACTGACATTAATTGACGTTGCATCACCCCCCACACACAGACACAGACGGACACACAGACAGACACAGTTACACACAGACATACACACACACCCACAAACACACCCACAAACACACACAGACACATACACACACAGACACACACACATAAACACACATAGTTCACTTCAGTACACTACATTACAATTACAGACACACGCAGTACAATCAGAGACACACACTCGATACAAAGACAAACACAGGCACAAACACACAGAGTACACTTCAGTACAATCACAGACGCAGGCACAAAGACATATACAAGAAGAGCAGATTGAAGTACCTTCATTTGCAGATGTTGACACATTGATCTGTGGGATATGTTCTTCAGTCTGTAACTGATCATCTGCTAGAACTGTCTCATCTGGATCAACCGGAGGAGTATCTTCCGGCAGGAGTCTGAGTGGGTCTATCGGGACAGCCATGGATCGCTCTCCGTACCTTGCTGAAATAAAGACAAAGGTCAACGACGGATGTCGCATGTCAGTCCTGTAACTAAATGTAATGCAAAATAGTGAATAAATAATTTTTACATCTGAACGATTGTTCATTGATTCTTTAAATCTGTTCATTGATTCAAAGAATCAATGAACAAAAGTTCAGGATTTTACCTTCTGTTAAGCTGTTAGCACTGACTCTAGCCCCCTCTCCAGCTCCCTACAAAACGACCATATCTCGGGCTGGAGCTTTCAACCGTCTTGCCTCAGCAGCCATCTAGCACAGTCGACCTGTCCTGTTAATTATGTGATCATCAAGTTACCAAATTTAATCCTTCAATATTCAAATAATTGATTATCAGACAAAACAGAGTTTAGAGCTCGACGTATGCTTCAGGGTTTCACACTGTGCTGTAATCAAACGCATGACTAAAACCTCTTGCTACTATTACCAATGTTAGATAAACCCATATTGTTAAGGCGGTCAAATGATTTACCTGAGTTGATCGCGTCCATGAAAGGGTTCAACTGCGCTCTGTCCAGCTTGTTAATGTCCGCTCCAGCAGCCAGCAGTGCCTCCGCCTCCGTCACTCTCCCTGCTTTGCATGGCCAGTGAAGCGTAGAGCTCCCCTCTAAGCTCTGTGACGATCCGACGAAGGATCCAGATTCCCTTCTTTTCTCTTGAGATTGCTTCAATTCTTCCTGGAGTATGCGGATTACCATTTTTATACTTCCATACAGGGCGCGTGAACAATCAGCAATGAATTATCAATTAATCAATCTAGTTTTTGAGTAAAAAGTCCACAGATTGTGATACATTGGATTTGATATTGGAAAAGACATGGCTTACCAAGTACCTTTTCATGTGCTTTTTGGAGGACAGGGATGACTTATTCCTGCGTGCCATTTCACCATAACTATCTGCTGTAACAGCAAAAATTAGAATTATGTCGGACATAATTCTAAAAAATTGGAACATTGTAGTTAATCAGTGTGGTGCTAACAACAGAGAGCGATTTGAACGGTAGGCAATTTCATTAAATTTCATTAACTCGATATAAGGATGATTGGAACAGGCTAAAATCTATAATGTGGCATTAATAACTGGCTATATCGGCATCGCTGCATTAAACGATTAAAGTATTGCTAACTATGGATATTCTACGTGATCTAGGCAGAGGGGAACCGGCACAGCCAGATTGCGTTGTCTTCACTTTCAGTGACTAAGTTTCACGATAGAAAAATTGACCTTATGTATTTTTAAAAAAGGATGCACAGTTCAAGCAATAAATCGATCGGCTGCTCATATGATATTTGCATTTAAAGGAGGGCCCAGTGCAGTGACCAGTAAGTCTGTTAAGGCAACATTTAGATCTGAGATAAGCTGAGTCTTGACAAAGATAAGTGAGTTTCGAGAAAGTGCACACGGATAAAGTTATCAAGTGACAATGATAAGACTAAGTTAGGGTCAAGTCAACAGAATGGCAGCTGTAACAGAAACAGTTCATTGGATAGGGGAGTAGGGGATTATGACGGAGTGAAATTTATTTAGCAGGGCAAACAAAAAACAACTGACAGCACTGAGCAAGTGAACTGGAAAATTGAGGAACGAAAATAACAGTGGTTGTCAGCCCTTTCCGTAGCAGTCAGGATTTCCCACGAGATCGATCAGGCAATCAGTTCCCACGAGAATGCTCGAGCGAACGCGCGCACTTGTGTCACGTGACGGCCACGTGACGCTCTAATCGTTGTCACGTGGTACAGAAGGGAGGTTCCTAGAGCGTCGATCTCGACAAGAGGGAGTTTCTCACGGTTTATCTTCAATAACTATCGCTATTTTTATAGTAGAGAGTTGAAACTTTCACCAAATGTTTCCCTAGACATTTCTGCATGGTAACTGTGTCATAGAATTTTAATTTGGGGACCTAATTTTGTGCAACACTCCGGTATCTGACGACCGGTCGCGGGCGTGGTTATTGTATTGTCAACTTCTATTGCACACTGAGCGAGCTATATTTTGAGTACAAAGATAAACTTTACACCAGGTGAAAGCTGAGACGTTTCTCTTTAAGATGATCACCTCACATTCTGTGTATCTGTGACATTGAGATAGTAACGATTCAAAACGTCAAGTTGAACAGGCTACAAAATACGCGCTGAATAAAAGTCCACCCCAGGAGTCCACCCCACGCGCGTAGGGTGATTGTATTACTGGAGCGAGCAAATGAATCCTATCTTTAAGCGTGCCTCTTCTTATAACCTGGACAGGATGTTTCTACGAATTCTCATTAGGGTAGAGTCTTAGCGAATGCTTTAGTACTGTGTAATGTTAGGATGGATATTGGAGACACAGTAGAAATTGCCACATGGTTTTGAATAGACCCCCAGTGTCTCCTTGGCAATTTAGATATTATGGTTAGTCACGTGATATCTAAATTAAAATTAATTATTCAAGATATTATGATGATATAAAGCTATCTGGTACATTCTTATCCATAACTTCACCGAACAATACTAATTCGACAGTTTAGAGGCCATCTAATTAGGACGTCCGCGAAAATCGCAAATTATCAGACTATCCCCTCCCCTGTCCGAAATTCCAAAACCACCCCCGGCCCTTCCCTCCCCCCCCCCCCCCCGGCCCCCACCTTCAATTGCCGGAATTCGTAAGCAGATGGCCCCTTAATTGATTTAGGGTCGTCAAGAATCTAAACGACGTGTTCGCGCATTTGGTAGTACTACCAAAAGTAATACCTAAATTACTACCAACAGCTGTACTACTTTACTACCATACTACCAGACTGGTAGTATATTTAAAGATTTACGAATAATTAAGAATCTGACACGAATACCTTGGAATATGACACGCATTATTTGGTAACGCGCTTGAAGCGCAAAAATCTTTTAGGAATCTGCAGACATCTTGCATTTGCGCTCGATTCGAACGTCTTCTCGGATAAATATGGAATTAAAGTGCGCAGCGTTACAGTGCGTAACAACCGAGAGCGACTATTTTAAAGTTAATTTAATAATTTTTTTTACAAAAATTAGTTGGCGTGGCTATGGAAATTAATATGGCTAGGAATTAGATTCTTAGATTCCTCACTTTATGTCTCTCCCTCCTTCTTTGTCAGCAATACCATTTTTAAAAGTTTAACCTATCCCTGGCCCAGTGGCCATTTCACATCATGTGGTCTCGTATCTATCTGATGTAGAAACTAATACACCACAACGCTTTCTTTTGCCGAAGTTCCTCAATTCCTTATATAGGTGAGGTACATCAAGAAATTTTGTAATCCTTGCCATCCTTTGTTAAAGCAATACCACTCTGTGTAACTCAACTCAGTTTGCTTTATTTCCCAACAGCACTGTGTGTTCCTTTGTTCAGGCGGGTTTAATCGGTCTTCATAACTGCACTCAGACAATTTCAGTCTCTTCCTCAATAAATCGGGGGGGGGGGGGGGGGGGGCGGTGATGACTGGAGGATCCCTGGAAGAGGCGATCAAGATTCTCGACGCCGGTTCTGATCACTTAATGGGCCGAATGTAGTGAATAGAATGACGTGGTTCTATAGGAAACGATTAAAACTTAACTCCCTTGGTAGGTTATAAGCCTAGAACCATGTGATGAGCTTAGTTTCTCAACGCAACGGTCACATAAAATTTGCTGCTCTCTCTCTCTCTCTCTTTCTCTCCTTCTCTGTCAGCAATGCAATGTCATGTTGTGGTCTAATGTCTATTTACTGTAGAAACTAGAACACCAATGGCCGAATTTCCTCAATTTGTTTTTCGATTTTCATTCATTTTGATAAAAGTTATAATTCTAAATTCTTAAGTTTTCTATCTGAAATCTAATTTTGTTACTGTTAGCTTCCTTACTATGATTACAATGATAAAATCATGATAGCATGAATGCCATATGGATCACATCACAAATGATACGTCACTGATTGGGCCATGTGATGTGAATGAGAGGTTCTTAAGCTCTTAGTTGTCGGTCACCGGATGTTATTCCCATTTCATAAGAGGACGATTTTTGTTAAATGGTATAATTGTTATACTGAAAATTTACTGAAATAAACTGAGAGACAATTCAGTGAGTCAGGATGACACTGACCACGACGAAAATGAGCAAGCTCGAGTTTTTTCAGAGAAGGAAAAAATCAGCGAAACGAAATTGTCAGACAATTTTTCGTGACATAAAATTTTAAATTTATTTTGTTATATTATTATTCGTAGGCAATTCTGTAATTATACTTTTAGTTTGCAACCTTCCAACTTCTTTTCCTTTTAATATTTTTGAGTTAGTACTACAATTTAGGCACTTAAGTAACCTCTGGACCATACTTACATTTTAAGTGAAAAACACCGCACTTAACCCCACTTAAAAGTCTCATTTCGAAAATACTTTTTGCTTAACTTTTTACTTAAGTACCATTTTTGACTTAAGTACCGTTTCGGAAAGGACCCCCAGATAGCATCAGCATAGCCCATAGGACAATAATAGTAAAATAAGTATATGATTGTATTACTCTTGCCGTCCCATCGCTCTTTTGTTTCTCTGCTCTGTAAATCGTTTTTTTGCTTTCTTAGAGACGAGATCATGGTAAGACCCCACAGTATGTAAGCAGCGGGCGAAGGCAATAATACAAGTTTCACACACTTCAGAAACACTGTCAGATCTCAGATAACCAATAAAACGCTCACACTGATTGTGAACACACTCGGTACCAGAGTCTAGAGACAATATCATGATACTCTCCGTTTCTCCACGATCCGTTTTAGAGTTTACACCTGCTGCCTGCATTGGAACATACTCTCTAAAAGCTTTTATCACACATTTTCTGAAGCACCTGATTTTCTATCCTTAGTCTAGCAGAAGAATTTTCTCGACTCTGGTCATCTGGATCTCCAACGTTTAAATCAGCATAACCATGAAAAGATGTAAAACGGGTCCTGCTCACTCCTGCTCTACCCTCAATACCCATCCAATCCTGATACAATAGTTTTACACAAGGTAAATGCGATCGATTAAATCCACCAGGCCGCCAAACACATCCACTAGAATTGAAGGGGCTTTAAATATTCAGCGTGGTTACAAGAACAGTATACGACTACGAGGCACCAAATTGTTCAAATTACCTTGGGTTCTAAACTAATCCAAGGAATTGTAAGGCCAGGAAATGTGTGAAACAAAAGGTTTGAATGCAAGGAAGATTCCAGACTGCTCTCTTAACGTTTCTCATCCTTCTTAGAGCCCCATGGAATTAGCATAATAATGCCATAGCCCCGCCTACCCTAGCAGCGAGATTACTCGCGTTGCTGTATTGAAAACGCCAACTTGGAGCTGTTGCTTTCACAAAAACTGGCTTTTCTAGGTGGTAACATTTGCAAGTTCTTTATTTATTTTCTGATTGCCGTGCTCCGATCCTACAGCATACCCCATACTAGATAGGGTATGGGTGGACAAAACAAGTTGTAAACTTGAAGCTGACATCTTGTTGTACAAAAATACATACTTTGAAGTGTTTGAACCTTCCAATCTATCGATATTCTAGATTCTTCTCTTGGAAATCAATGATTTGGGTTCGGATGATCATGACTTCTCTGCGAGTTTTGCTTTTTAATTCATGTTCCATAATAGTGACAAAAGACTGAATAGGTATTTGTTGAAAACAGAAAAAGATATAACAGAATAACACATTTATTTTTTCTTAGAGTATGTTAAGTTTGTTAATATTCCTTTCGATTTATCTACAATTCATCAGTTCATCGCTCACTGCAACTGGTAAATATTGCTTCCCTTATTCCTCGTCACCTCGTGATCAAATATCAATTTATGTGCTTGTTAATAGAGTTGTTAAGAGAGATGAAGCATAACTCTTGTTGAACTTATTTATCCTATCATTGATCTTAAAATAAGTTTCCCTGAAGTCAGTGTTGGCTTAGCCATGATTCATTGACATGTATTTAATAACTGCAACAATAATGGTCATGTTTCAGTGGCTCCTAGAGACAGACTGGCTGGTGAGATAGTCCCAGTCAGTGCTGATCACTCTGGCACCTACGACATTGATGACGGGACGTCTCACGTTGCTGCTCATGCGATAGACCTGGATTTCGGAACCTATTCGTACACTGAGCCTGGTTCTGACAATGCACCCTGGTTAACGGTTAAACTAGCCCAGGTGTACTGTGTGAAACAGGTTGTATGGTTGAACTGGAATGCTGCACCTTTTGTCACCTGGACTTGCTCTGCCACTGATTGTACTTCCTGTGAAAATAGCCAGGGGAGGTGTCCCTCCTACACTCTCACAGTTTACACCGAGGGAGATTCTTCTGATAATCTCCCTTCCGTGTCTGACTGCAAGTATGGCAACAGGGTGAAGTTGCACCGCTATCAAAATTATGCGTTTTACGTGTACGAGATAGCCATAATAGGAACACTTGAAGGTAAAGGAAGTTGCTCAATATGATATCACTTCAACTTTAAAGCTTTAAAGTGCAGTGTCTATGAAATTTTTTCATTATGTTCACTCAATAGGGATATTCATTGACTAACACATAGCAATCGCTGTAGAACAGTAGGCTGTCACTCTACCAAAAGTTGCATAACCATAGTGATTAAAATGAGTATCGTGATCAATCATCGATTTATGTTTTTGTTCTCAAGAGTTGTTAACATAATATGAGGAAGATAAAGTCTATCATTGATCTTAGAATAATTTTCCTTGAAGTCAGTGTTGGCTTAGTCATGATTCATTGACCTGCATTTAATAACTGCAACAATAATGGTCATGTTTCAGTGGCTCCTAGAGAAAGACTGGCTGGTGAGATAGTCCCACTTAGTGCTGATCACTCTGGCACCTACGAAGATGACGAGACGTCTTACGGTGCTGCTAATTCTATAGACCTGGATTCCGAAACCTATTCGGTCACTCGACCTGGTTCTGACAATGCATCATGGTTAAAGGTTACACTAGACCAGGTGTCTTGTTTGAAACAGGTTGTATTGTTCATGTATGAAGGTGCTCAAGATAATGTCATCTGGACTTGCTCTGATACTGATTGTAATTCCTGTGAAAGTTCCCTGGATTGGGAGTGTCCCTCCTACACTCTCACAGTTTACACCGAGGAAGATTCTTCTGATAATCTCCCTTCCGTGTCTGACTGCAAGTATGGCAACAGGGTGAAGTTAGACGGCTCTAGTAATAAGTTTACCGTGTACGAGATAGCCATAATAGAAACACTTGAAGGTAAAGGAAGTTGCTCCATACAATATCACTTCAACTTTAAAGTGTCCCTGACATTCTTAAGTTTCGTTCAGTAGTCAGTCAATAGGGATAATCATTGACTTAAACTTAGTGACTTAGCAATCGATGTAGAACAACAGTCTGTCACTCTACCAAAAAATGCATTATATCCATACCGATCAAAATGAGTCTAACAGTACTAGCATTATCACGAATCCGTCTAAATTTGTAATCTTATAATTGCTATTATTCATCCATCATTTCAGTTGCACCTCCAAAATGTGAGAATCTAGCTCCAACATGGAAGAACGTGGTGACGAAACCAGTTCTACCAGTAGAAGACGAAGTGGAGGTAACGCTGACCTGCGCTGATGGTCGGTCTAACAAGGGAGGGAAGAAAGCAACTTGTCAGAGCGGCGACCTTGTCCCAACAAAGGGAGCTCCTTATTGCTTTGGTAAGAATTGTGAAAATAAATGTAAAAACTGTTTCTTCCTCACAACTAGGGTATGGTTGGAACAGTTTCTTATGTTTATCTGTAATTGTTTTAAATACTCATGACAATTTTTATTATTGTGATAGTTTCCTACAATTACAAAACCACGTGATCTGATAATTCTAAAAAGAAGAAGCTGCCACTAGAATTTATACAGAACTGTTCAAATTGGAAAGTAATGATCAATTCCATTTCATCATCAAAATAAAGTGAATAAGTTAAGAAAAGTAAGTTTAAAACGGTAACTTACCACATCAACAAAAGAGACTAGAACGTTAGATCCGTCTGACAGCTCCAGTTTCATACTCTTACCGTCGTTCTGAAACAAGATTATCAATTATAAACACTTGCTTAAATTTAACATGATTTAGCAGCTTTTACGGTTTTGAACAGGCAGGCTTAGTGTATTTAAACGAAATTGGCACCACATGTCGGCCTGGCAGTAAGCCTGAATTAGTTAAATAGTTTCGATTCTCGATGATGAAAATGTGGGGTTTTAATCTGTTATAAAGCCTTTGTCAAAAAGTATGTTAGAGTTAGTTCTGTATATTTAGTATTTACCACATTTTTTCCTGGACTCGGTTGGATATTATCAGGTTTATTAATAAATCATCAACATAAATCCAACACATTCCTTTCAAACAAATATGCAAACAATAACTCATTAGTTGTACATATCTAAATGATCAACTTATTAGTTATTATAGGAAATACAGCCGCTTTAATGTAAACATACACTGTTACACTACTTGTTGTCTATTTGATATATAATTGCGGGAATTGGTTAATCACTCTTTTAATACTCGAATATGTATCGTACTAAGAGAGTGATTAACCAATCCCCATGACACCTTGAGAATTGTATGATGACCGCTGCACTGTCTCACATCCTCACTGGATAAGCTGGATTGACGAGTTCCCCTCCCACTATAAAACGAACGGAAACCACTACTGCTCTAGTTTATCTTTTCCTTCCTCCAGTCCAGGGGCTCTCGGCTATTCGTTACCGTGACGACATGGTATGGTAGGTTCTTCGTGGTACAGTAAAACCCCAATTTACCACGGAGTTTGGGAGAAAGGAAACACCCGCGGTAAATCGGGGTTTGCGGTAAATAGGGGCGCGGTGAATCGGGGTTTTACTGTATTACTTTATAACTAGGTTATTGTTACTAGGTTACTGTTATCTATCATTAGGCAGTGATTGTACACGTATGATGGATTGTTCCCAGATTCTTACTAGAATTATGACGTTGATTTCCACATTTTTATTAGTACCGCTGTACTCTCTATAATCCTAATTTCCTCAGGTCAACTGTCATCAGATCTACCGGCTCGTCCACTCCGCATACACTGAGAGGAGCTTTATCTAAGGTAATAATTTGTCATGAAATTAATGACGTTCTCGGCTTAAGTTAGAATCCAATCGTTTGAGAATTTATTGCACGAATTGTAATAGTCTTCATGTAATTCCCTAGTATTTCATTAATAATCTATTTCATCTCCCAGGCTTGTAGACTTCATTTTCTCACCTAACTCGATCTGTTCCCAACCTAAACCTCGAGGTCAAATTTTCTTCTATAACTTTGGAAGTTAATCCCTATTCTAGTCAAGCAACGGTCAGGTATAGTTTGTTTTATTGAACGATATGATTAGATTGTCATTCTAATTCAATTTAAATTCTTTAAATCATCATTCTAATTCATGTGTCCTGGCTATAAGTTTCGTAGTATCAATAAGTTATTAATATGTTTAGTATTTACACAGTCTTTCCTCAGTTACAGTTACAGAGAGTCTCGCTAAATGAACATCAGGCCTGCCGACCCCCACCACTTCTCACCAGATGAACATCAGGCCTGCCGACCCCCACCACTTCTCACCAGATGAACATCAGGCCTGCCGACCCCCACCACTTCTCACCAGATGAACATCAGGCCTGCCGACCCCCACCACTTCTCACCAGATGAACATCAGGCCTGCCGACCCCCACCACTTCTCACCAGATGAACACCAGGCCTGCTGACCCCCACCACTTCTCACCAAATGAACACCAGGCCTGCCGACCCCCACCACTTCTCACCAAATGAACACCAGGCCTGCCGACCCCCACCACTTCTCACCAGATGAACACCAGGTCTGCCGACCCCCACCACTTCTCACCAGATGAACACCAGGCCTGCCGACCCCCACCACTTCTCACCAGATGAACATCAGGCCTGCCGACCCCCACCACTTCTCACCAGATGAACACCAGGCCTGCCGACCCCCACCACTTCTCACCAGATGAACATCAGGCCTGCCGACCCCCACCACTTCTCACCAGATGAACACCAGGCCTGCCGACCCCCACCACTTCTCACCAGATGAACACCAGGCCTGCTGACCCCCACCACTTCTCACCAGATGAACATCAGGCCTGCCGACCCCCACCACTTCTCACCAAATGAACACCAGGCCTGCCGACCCCCACCACTTCTCACCAAATGAACACCAGGCCTGCCGACCCCCACCACTTCTCACCAGATGAACACCAGGTCTGCCGACACCCACCACTTCTCACCAGATGAACACCAGGCCTGCCGACCCCCACCACTTCTCACCAGATGAACATCAGGCCTGCCGACCCCCACCACTTCTCACCAGATGAACACCAGGCCTGCCGACCCCCACCACTTCTCACCAGATGAACATCAGGCCTGCCGACCCCCACCACTTCTCACCAGATGAACACCAGGCCTGCCGACCCCCACCACTTCTCACCAGATGAACACCAGGCCTGCTGACCCCCACCACTTCTCATCAGATGAACATCAGGCCTGCCGACCCCCACCACTTCTCACCAGATGAACACCAGGCCTGCCGACCCCCACCACTTCTCACCAGATGAACACCAGGCCTGCCGACCCCACCACTTCTCACCACTTCTCACCAGATGGACTAATCAACTTCACTTGGTAATTGACTGACTAACTGAAGATTTTAGGATCGCACCCGAAGACTCCGGGACGGAGTTGAACTTTAGATTTACAACCAATTGTGAGCAGGGACAAAAGGATTTCGCGGCGATTTTGGCCAAAAATCGCGAATTACATTTCGCGGTATATTAAACTATACATAAAATTTGTCGCAAATAATGGGGAAATCGCGATTCCGTACATGCCGCGATTTCCTTTTGTCCCTGATTGTGAGACTACCTTAGTAGTGATTGTCGATGGTTTACGTGAAAACTTGTGATTAAAGTGTTTCTTTCTTTATTGAAATTTTTACATATTTCAATTTAAACTGTTTTAATTGGTCTTCCAGATACAAATTCAAAGAACAGATCAAGTATATCTTCGTTACTGAATTTCATTTCCCTAAAATGTGCCTTGTATAGAGTATTCTTGGGCTCGATAGCTTTCCGAGATAAATTCCATAACATCGTACACGTATAAATTCAATTTATTAGTGTAATCTTAACTTAAAATCAATCATTAGTTTCATCTAATTCAAACTAATAAGGTAATGAAATGAAATGAAATGAAATGAAATGAGGTATTTATATCCCGCTCATATGATTAACCAACAACACAAGGAAGGTGGTTAACCATGTCAGAGCGGCTGACTGTGAGTGATGTGAGCAAATGTGTAAAAATGAACAAGAGTATAGCGTAATATTAATATAAGACCAAGACAAAATTAAAACATCTTTTATTTTAAACCACACTAAACTAAAAAGAAGCAGAGACCATACAATACATGTAGGTATAGTAATCAATAAATATAGCAATCATGACTCATAAGTCTACATCGTCTACTCTTTACGAGGCCTCTTGGGTAGGTACTCGTCAGAGGAGTCAGGGCTGGAGGGTGGGGGTGTAGAAGAAATGGAAGGAGCAGGGGTAGAAGGAGGTTCAGTGATGGACTGGGACTTGGCGTACTTCTCGTACTTAGCTTCCCGAGCAAGCTTCTTCTCGACCACAGCCTTAGTTTTGAAGTCCCGAGTTGAAGAAATCTGCGCATCCCAGTGATGGAGTAGAAACTGTCTGTCATCTTTATGGACTCTAGAGGTGAAGATGAGGGATTTATTTGAGATGTCAAAAAGCTTAGGGAGGGATTCGACGAACTCTGCTCTCTTCTTCTGGAAGGCGGCACCAGATCTTTGGGAAATCGGGGTTTTAGCAAGGGATTTATATTTCTGGTGGAGAGGCTGGATCATCCTTTTCATTATGTTGCTGGGTGTCTTGAGGACGTCTCCAAAACCAGCATACTCCCAGACGGACACCAGATCGTTCTTCACGGTAACTCTTGCTAACTCTCCCGAAGAAGGACCTCTATTGTGCTCAATAAGAAAGAAGAGTCTCTGTAGAACAACTTGGTTTGTGGGTAGCTTGGAGTCAGGGATTCTTTCGAGAAGCTTTCCTATCAATGGAATCTCTCTTCTAGGCATTCTTCGCTTTCCTTTGGAGGTTGACATTGTTGGTTGACTGATAATTACTCATGGTTTTTAGTTCTTTTAAACTTTATTGCCGGTGTCAGCACTCATCAGGGTTTGTTATGTGACTCGTGGACGATACAAGGAGATAAAGTGCCAAATCTTGTTCAACATTCATGGACCATGGTGTCAACGTTATCTTCTGGCTCAACTCTCTGGCTCACATTTCTGGATAAAGTTTGTGCACGCTTTATTGTGATTGAGAGAATTTTGAGAGAAACAACATCAAGATGATGGACGATGGTTTTCAGAAACTATTTGTTATCAATTTATATAAACAATGTGGGCGTGGCACATAGGAAGGACGTGGTCACAGAAATTTTAAACCATGTTTAAACGAAATGCTTGGGTCACATTTATATTCGAGTAGAAAGTCTCAAAGCTCTAAATCAATCCTCTAATTCCAAAATTGCACTTAGTCGGCGTCACGTACGGCACTTGGTACCTGATCCCCCCAGACCCTATAAAGCAACTAATAAGATATGATCTCTAATTATTTTAACAACTTTTGGTAAAATGAACCACCCTATTTAGTACTTCCCAATCTAAATAATCAACTTATCAGTTTTATTTAAATAGCTATTAAAGAGAGCCGCGCTAACATACCCACAAACTATGCCTTACGCTTTGGCTTGTTGTTACCGAGGGTGTGATTATTGTGGGCGGAGTAATTATAAACCGTTTTCCAGCTCATCTCATTACTATCTCACCACTATACCAACCAATCTAATTACTATGTTGTTGGCATGTGCTGCAAACACACATACTCGCAGCTAATTGTTCAGTACATCTGTGTGTGTGTGTGTGTGTGTGTGTGTGTGTGTGTGTGTGTGTGTGTGTGTGTGTGTGTGTGTGTGTGTGTGTGTGTGTGGGTGGGTGTGGGTGTGTGTGTGTGTGTGTGTGTGTGTGTGTGTGTGTGTGTGTGTGTGTGTGTGTGTGTGTGTGTGTGTGTGTGTGTGTGTGTGTGTGTGTGTGTGTGTGTGTGTGTGTGTGTGTGTGTGTGTGTGTGTGTGTGTGTGTGTGTGTGTGTGTGTGTGTGTTTTGTTTATAATGGGAGGCACTATATTGAGATAAATGAGATAACTTGAAGCAGAATTGCGCGGTACTACTGATTAGCTTAACTTATAATATTATACATTACTACTAATAAGCTCCTGGAAAGTTTAGACTTACATTTATGTGATACTTCTTGATATTAGTTAGATTAAGAAGTTAAGAATTCATTTGTACACGTCACGTCACGTCACAGTGGCGTACGCATGGTGTATAGGGTGTGGTCGTTTATTAAAGACTTAATAACATCTGGGTTAGATGGAGTTTAACTTTATAACGAGTATAATTCTTACCGCTTATTGTATTTAAGGACACGTTCATTGAAGTTTGAGGATATTGGTAAATTTCTAAAATAGCGTTTTCGACGATAGTGGCTTAATTTTAGCATCTATTAATCTAGCGTGTTCATAAGTTCTGAACATTAGCCACATGACCCATACTCCCATATGCACTGCTCAGAAATAAAATGTATTGCTTTTAGGCACTATAATGTAAAAAATTTCACATTTTTGTGACATTGTTTACCATAGCTGCCCAATTATCATTCCTTGGTCTGATATATAGTAGATTAGGTCAATAGGAAGGCACATAGGAAGGACGTGGTCACAGAAATTTTAAACCATGTTTAAACGAAATGCTTGGGTCACATTTATATTCGAGTAGAAAGTCTCAAAGCTCTAAATCAATCCTCTAATTCCAAAATTGCACTTAGTCGGCATCACGTACGGCACTTGGTACCTGATCCCCCCAGACCCTATAAAGCAACTAATAAGATATGATCTCTAATTATTTTAACAACTTTTGGTAAAATGAACCACCCTATTTAGTACTTCCCAATCTAAATAATCAACTTATCAGTTTTATTTAAATAGCTATTAAAGAGAGCCGCGCTAACATACCCACAAACTATGCCTTACGCTTTGGCTTGTTGTTACCGAGGGTGTGATTATTGTGGGCGGAGTAATTATAAACCGTTTTCCAGCTCATCTCATTACTATCTCACCACTATACCAACCAATCTAATTACTATGTTGTTGGCATGTGCTGCAAACACACAGTTCGCAGCTAATTGTTCAGTACATCTGTGTGTGTGTGTGTGTGTGTGTGTGTGTGTGTGTGTGTGTGTGTGTGTGTGTGTGTGTGTGTGTGTGTGTGTGTGTGTGTGTGTGTGTGTGTGTGTGTGTGTGTGTGTGTGTGTGTGTGTGTGTGTGTGTGTGTGTGTGTGTGTGTGTTTTGTTTATAATGGGAGGCACTATATTGAGATAAATGAGATAACTTGAAGCAGAATTGCGCGGTACTACTGATTAGCTTAACTTATAATATTATACATTACTACTAATAAGCTCCTGGAAAGTTTAGACTTACATTTATGTGATACTTCTTGATATTAGTTAGATTAAGAAGTAAAGAATTCATTAGTACACGTCACGTCACGTCACAGTGGCGTACGCATGGTGTATAGGGTGTGGTCGTTTATTATAGACTTAATAACATCTGGGTTAGATGGAGTTTAACTTTATAACGAGTATAATTCTTACCGCTTATTGTATTTAAAGTAAATAGGCTCTATAGTGTCGAGTCTGTATAACTCTTTATATCCTATATATTGCATGCTACATATTCCACTAAATGTAGATTATATTTAATGCACATTATGTACTATATACAATATGTACATTCTATATATCACCTCCATTATACCCTAAATACTCCATATTTTGCATACTGCAAATTCCTTACACATTCTGCATCACAAACAGAAGCAGTAAAACAGAAAGCTTAGTATTTAACCAATCTTAACAATATTAATATGCAAATATGCGGCAGTATCTAAGTAGCCCGACATGTGTTCCCGAACAGGGTTATGGTTAGGGTTATGGTTCTAGGGTTAAGGTTAGGGTTAAACTTAACCCTAACCCTAACCCTTACCATAACCTGAACACACCTGTTCGGGAACACCTGTTCGGAAGCACATGTCGGGCTTCTTGGATACTGCTAAATATGTAACAAGGAAAAGCTTAATTAATTCAATTATGCTCAAAATTGCAAAACATCATTGATTGTATTTATTGACAGCAGCATGAAGTAAATAGACATTTAAAGTAGTAAAGAGAAGTTTCAACAGCGTTTGCTTATTGAAAAGGAAATAAGTTGAGTTGGAACACGCCGGGTTAATCTCAGTAAAAGCAAGGGGTTCCTGAAATGACTCAGCCGATATAATATCAATGATATATCAATTATATAATATGTCATAACTTATAATATTAAGTTATATAACTTAAAAACTCACCGTTATAACTTTGCCGACAGCCACAATCTCTTGACCAATCTTATCTGACAACATTGAACCGTTTACGCGTGGTTTAGTCTCCATTGTAGGTTGTGGTCAGGGTACACTAAGTGCTAAGTATAGAATGTGTGGTCAGAGAATAGGAGATTGTGCGAAGCAATTTTATAATGTTAGTGATATTAAAATGTAAGTACCCTGGTAGTGATACCGCAATCATTGCAATACTTCTCAGTGATACCTTTTATCTTATCATTGAGTATTAATCTAATATAAGTACCTATTTTTAATTCTGACAAAGTTTACGCTTTTATTTGTAAAAGGTTTAATTACATTGAGCACAATGAAACGGCAGGAGCATTTATTATCGAAGCAATCCATTTCATGAAAATTTGATACAGGTAGAAACAAATACAAATTACGAGAATGATACAACACCATAGGAAATATTACTTAAATTTGAAAACGAACTTTTGGGATTTGTTTTGGGATTGCTTACTCTGCAGACAAATGCTGCCCATCAAAATAATATTTTTATTCTTAATCATGTATTTTTCACATTCATCGAGCCATGAAGGTCACTCACAAAATCATGAATTCCAGCACACAAAATCAAAATAACACAAAACATTTAGAATCGGCTACTGTACCACAGTAAGACATTTAAATGGTTCAATGACTATTTCGAGTATGCAAATCTGACGAAAGTACCCATGGCCACCTTTATCAGAAATATTTTAACTGTGGCAAGATATGTAAAATTTAGACTCTGATAATTCAAACATTAATGGATAGTTGATAGCTGTTTATTGATTAGTTAATGGATGTTTTCTTACAAATTTTAGCAGACTATATTGTACAATGCTCTATAATGAATCCGACTGGTGTAGGTACCTAAAACAAATTATCAGACTGAAATCACTTTTAAATATGAAAAGATAGATTTCAGAACTCATGGACAACTTCATAATTGTAAACAACATACAATAATACATGCAACAAAGTTATTAATCGTTTAAAAGTTTAAAACTAAATCATCAGTACAAAGATACAGAGATCTGCACTGTTGCAGTCCAATCTGGTAAAATGATATATATTTGGAATATTTTACATTTATAGTTCATTATAACACTACACCCTCCGGCTTCAATGATATCTTCTTTTTCACATGCTTTTCATATTTCCTCTACAAATAAATTAGTATTACAGTTTTTAGTTCCATAACATCAACGTTGTTGTAAGCTTAGGAGTATCTCATGCAGCATCATTCACAAAACCTAATATCCATTACATCAACTGTTCAAATTATCTTCTTCACCATCTTCTTCATCCGCAAATGGCCGAGGAGCAGCAACACCCGCCCGCCCAGTCCACATAGCCAACACTTCTCCTCTCTTAAACGCAGTTCCAAACACTCCGAGCAGACAGCAGGGGACAAGGTATAGCAGCGCTGGCTGCGCTATTCCCATTCCAATCAGTGCACCGTAGGTGATAATGAGACCAACTGCGTAGGAGGTACAGGAGATAATGTAGTACCACTTAATTTGACCAGGGTGAGCAAGTGTGTCAAAGTAAGCAGAGTAGCCGGTGAGAAGACCAGGAATTACGATGTCACCAAATCCGATCATTCCATATATGGGCATGCATACTTTGAAATCTGTGTTTTGAAGTATGGGATCTTTATCGAAAGAGGAATTTGTTCACCAGGGGTGTAGTCCATTGGTGCATCAAACACTTGCTTTTTGGAAGATGATCCAGTAGCAACTCTTTCCATGATGCTGACACCATCTTTCGTGAATAAAGGTGTTATGAAGACAAAGAATATGTCATAGATAAACAGCATGGCCATGATGATGGTAATGATCTTCAAGTTGGGAAGAGGAACACTCATGATTATGTTGAGGCACACACTGATTCCCATAAAAACTTGGAGTGGCCAGATGTTGTACTCATGCCTGAAGGCAAACCAAACCATGGTTATAGAGAAGCAGGCTAACCATAGAGCAACTTTGAAGGGAGCAAAATGCTTCTCTTTGTTTCGGCACGATACCTGCCACCTTGTGTGGAAACAATCAATCTCAGCTAAGACTGGAAAGAAGAGAGAATACATACCAGTTGACGCGATGACACAGAAGAGGCCCATGAATACAAACACAAAGTACTTGTATGCAAAGTAAAGGAGAAGCAGCATGCCAGCCATGATGCTCACTATGACTGCACCAAACAGAATATTGGTCCACAAGCTACCTTTACCTTCTTCTTCGTCGACCTCTGACTCACTTGTTTGAAGAGTCAATCTTATTGGAGGCTTGGGAGTTGTTGTCCAGAATTCCGAAAGCTTCATATTTTTGGGATAAAGACCCCAGTAGGAGCCAACCACTATGCAAAAGACACATATCACATAGATGGCAATGACATTCCCATCAAATTTTGTCACTGGGCTGTAGAATGATATGGACAAGTCCTGCGAGGAACCCAGTGTCTTGATGGTCTGATAGCTATTGGAATTGATTAAGACAATGGGTGCAGAGGAGAAGTTTGACTGATGAACATCCGTAACATTGAGGACACCATCAGTCCTAGCAATGACAATCAATTCTGCACCAGCATCAACAAGATTCTTGGCTCTATCGACAACTGAGCACTCACCTGTATCAATTATTACCACTGATGTATTAGTAAGATTGTCAGTTACCTCGTCACATCCATTTATCACCAAATGAATCCTGTGCAGGGGATATTTTGGTGCATCTTGCACATTGTTTGTATATACAGTTGTGAACCAATCTGGATTAAAAGTAACACAAAACTTGTTTACTTCAGCTTCCTCTCCATCAGCAGTTGCAGCAATAACTCCATGGTAGATTTGGAGATCTGACTTAGCATGAACCAAGGGAATTAAAAGAAGAAGAATCCATTTCATCCCTGAGGGAAAGAGTAAGATTATAATATGCTAGTTTGTTGTCTGAAAACAACGACAGAATGTAAAAATTATCTTATGTACTTCTCAATAACTGAGTCAACTTACTAACATAACATTCAAGGACAGAGGCAACATATAAGTGCAGTGGGTGAGGAATCGCACTATTGACCTAATACAGCACTTTTCTGCACCAACGGCCGATATTTGTTCTATCGGATTTGTGCACTTTGCGGTACTGCTGTGCAACAACAATGCGACTAATAAATAATGTTCCGATCCAGATATTACACTGTTGTGTACAAGAAGAAACTATCGACATGACCATAACTATGATTAGGATCAAACGTTTTTCATGACGTAACATCTAAAACATCAGTACTAAGAAAGTAGTACATTTTAATACTTTCAACACTACTATATAACAAATAATTTGAGGACTAGCAATGGTTATGTTAACAATGAACTAGAGACCTTGTTTGGACGATGGGGGGCTCAGGGAGGATGGATCACTGCTCCTAGAAAATGAGTTGAGTTGTCAGTTCGGTTCGTCATGTGTTCACATACCACTAGTCACTACACCTAATAAAAAAACCATTGCTAGTCCAAAAATATATATAGTAGTGTTGAAGTATTCCAAGATAGGCATTCTCTGAATACCTGTCTCAACTAATTTTTTGCCCTGAATTTATTTATTTTTACTCTGAAAATTCTGCTCAAACAATTTTACCTACACACTTAACAATTTCAAACCAAATCACCCCATCCAAACCCAGTTTGTCCTGTTGTTGTTAGTGTGTCTGACCTTTGAATGATTTACATATTTTTGAATACTTCAATCACTCTTTTGAAAGTTCTTGAAAAAATTCTATTCAATCATATTCCCACATAACCCACCTCATATCACTCACAATGAACCGGCTGATGCTCTTCTCCTTTCAGGTGCAGGGGTCTGTCCAAGCTGGCCCCCTGGACTCCGGACATATCTCTGATATCATATCATCATGGCTACTACCTCAAGTGCTAGTACCCAAAGGCGTTCCCCTAGACACACTCCTCCTCCTACCAACCCAGGATCCAGAGCTAGCATGTCACCATCCGGCAGAGGAGCTACCTCCCAAAAGAAGAAACCTCTAGCAGACAACAAAGCCCTGCGCAGGAACAGCCCTAGCGCAATGGCCCAGAAAGCTGTGCTGGGTAAACGCCCATCAAAGTCACCCCAAGAACAACCAGAGACATCTGTTCTTAAACCTCCAGGTAATCTGGTTATTGAAAAGATCAGCCCAAACCTGATATCAGCTTTAGAATCATCGAACCTCAGAGAGAGCCCCAGCAGTCCAATGAGCCCTCTGTACAAGTCCTTTCCTCCATTCTCCCATGCTGAAGAGTCTACTGAAGAACTTGAAATCCAGGATAAACCTACAGTAAAACAACGGGCTTCAAAGAGTGATTGTCCTTGCCGATCAACATCAGATGGTAAGGAATGGAAGTTCAAGTGTACCAGATGTTTTCAGCACTGGCATGCTTCCTGTTGCAATCTCAAGGGTGCTAACAATATTCAGCACGATACACCTCTTGAAGCTTCTCTGAATATTATTCTCTCAGAATGGCTATGTCCATGGTGTTTCGATACATCATTCCCCAGACCAGGCTCCAGCATGTCAGCCAAGATGGACAACAACCTAAAGAGCTCTGTAGACTACAGCCAGAACATACAGGCTATATCAGATGCTATTTCTAATGCTGTTGGTAACAGTATGCCTACTGTGGAGATTGTATCCCTGGAGACAAGACTGAAGAAGCTGAGCCAAGAGATTCATGAATTTCAGCAGTCCAGAAGTCCATCTGAAGCACCACCTGCTACAGAAATCCCCCTCCCTAAATGCACAGAACCTCCAGTGTGTGATTACCTGGTCGATGTGCTAAGTGCTGAGATCCTCAAAGAAGTCACAGAGTTTCTCCTGGAGAGCCAAGCTAGTAATAAGTTCATCCCGAAGAATGGAAGACAGGTTCTCAAGTTTGGGGAAGACTACTCTTATACTGGTGATTCAGACCCACCCCTATCCCCCACAATCCCAGCACCCCTTGCCTCAGCCATAGACGCAGTTACATCAAAGTGCAGACTGACCCATAAGCCCAACTCCATCCTAATAAACTACTACCCTCCCTCAGTTGATACCACCACTAGTAGCAAGCTCCCTTTTCACTCTGACGATGAGTCTGAGATTATTGCTAACTCAGAAATTGCTACTATCAGCATAGGCGACGTCAGGAAGGTGTGCTTTAAGTGCATCCATGAGACCGGAAACGAAGCCTCAACTGAGTATGTTCATAGTGTGAGTCCAGAATCTAACTCAGTATATGTGATGACACGATCGTCACAAGCCTGGTATCGTCACGGTATTGATGAAACAGGTCCTGCTGAAACTCAGTCTTCTGTGCAGACAGGAAGGTTCTCCATCATACTAAGAACTGTGAGCAAACAGTTTAGCCGGAGCTGCATCATCATGGGCGACTCTAACACCAAGCCCATCAAGTTCGGTGTCGGTACTGGAACCCTTGGACAGTCCTTCCCAGGTGAACGTGTTAAAGCCAACAAGGTCAGTGCAATAGACCCTAAGCTCTGCATTGGTTATAGCAACGTCATCTTAGTTTGTGGGACCAACGATCTACGAGTTGAAAATGTGCAGTCACCTGGTGATATACACCAGCTGGTAGACATTCTCCACCTGAAAATCCAGCAGATCCAGAAACTGTGCCCTAAGGCGAAGTTGTTTGTCACAGCAGTTTTACCGTCTAGACTCCCTAAGATGAATAAAAACATTATGGCATTCAACAGCTTGGTTGATGAAATGTTGTACTCTAGCTTTAACCAGACTGTATGGCACCTTGGTGTTGGCCACTTTTTAGACGGTAAAGGGTTGCTTGCTATGAAACTCACGAGAAATGGTGATGAAATCCATCTCGGAGAGCTTGGTATTGCTAAATTTGTGAGATGTCTGAAACAGTGGGTGTATGTGAGGGAGAGACAGGAGAGAGTAAGACAAAGGAAGGCCACCCGACCAGTGGGAGTTTATCCCACTTAGTTTATCATGATTATGAAACTTATTAAAGATGTGTGCGACCCCTGTAGTAAATACATTAATATTGGCCAGCCACTCTTAGAATGTGAAAATTGCAGCAAAGTTGTTCATACTAAGTGCTTCAGATCCGCGAAATTTACAAGCAAAAACGGTCTATGGATGTGTAGTGATTGCTGTAGTACAATAGAAGATAGGTATTGCCCATTTCCAAGCAGCCAAAGATATGATGATTCAGATAAATTCTATGATACAAACAACCAGGAAGATGTCACCATAGCTAAATTCTCTTCAATACTTGAAGACTGTAAGCGTTACACAAAACAAGAACTAGCAAACTCGATCAGCAAACTTTTTCCTGAGAAAAATAAAAATTCTGCTTATCTGCCCGCTCTGTTTTGCAATATAGATGGGTTTGCTAGTAATTTTGACAGCTTTTTAATAGAACATAAGACCCTCCCGTGTAATTTTGATGTCATTGGATTAGCTGAGACCAACATCGATCCAAGCCAACAAGGCTTATACCAAATCCCCTCCTATACAACATTTTGTCAAGTACCATTCCCTGATAAGAAAAAAGGAACAGGAGTATCCTTATATGTCTCTGATCGCCTGAATGCTGTAGTAATCGAAAATCTATCTCACTGTACAAAAGATATTGAGTGCTTATTTGTTGAAATTACTCTTAGCTCGGGTGATAAACTGACATATGGGGTTGCTTGTCGTCCTCCAAATGGCTGTAGTGAGACCTTTTGTCAAACTCTTGAGGATATATCTAAGCAGTTGGCTGGTAAAAAGTTCCATATTCTTGGTGATTTTAACTCTAACCTCCTCAATGTACAAACCTCCAGCCAGCTATTTGAGGACACGTTACTTCGTAACAATATGTATCCTACTATATCACTTGCTACCCACTTCCGTCCTAACTGTAAAAACTCATGTATTGACAATATCCTCACATCAGAGATAGATCATGTACTTCTCTCCGGTGTATTGAATGATAGGATTGGTGACCATGCCTTTATATTCACCTTCACGTCAATTCCTACCGAAAACAGTACTGAAAAACTTAAACATGTTCGCTACTATGATTATTCAAGTTCCAAACTCACTAATTTTGTTAATGAACTCGAGGTGAAGGTGAATGACTTAACTCCCTCGGTAAACTTCAATGAGTTCTTGGACTGCTTCAATGAAACACTTGATAAACACTGTAAGCTTGATGTACCAAAAGTTACCAAAAGGACTCCCAAACTCAACCCGTGGATTACCGATGGAATCATTGTCTCAGTTGAAAGAAAACATGAACTCTGTAGAGACTGGTCAAGCACTGTAACAAATAGAAACCCTGAGGGTAATGTACTGCTCTATAAAGTCTTCAGTGACTACCGAAGAATGCTTAAAAGTATTATCAAGGTCGCCAAACGATCGTACTACTGCAATGAAATTCATAAAAATATAGAAAACAGCAAAAAAACGTGGCAGATAATCAATGAGCTCAGGGGCAAGAAAAAGAAGCAAACTAAGCCTCCCTTTATCATAAACAACGAACGAATCATGAATCGTAGAGTCATAGCCAATGGATTCAACTCTTACTTTGTTTCTATAATTGCCCCTAAGCTCAATGAAACACTTAGTAGCAGTGAGGCCTCTGGTTTACCAATTCTCCCTATAAAAACATTCTATGATTTCCTTGGAAAGACTAATGAAAAATCGATTATGTTAGAAGACTGTACACCTTATGAGATAACGGAAATAATAAAAGGATTTGAAAATGGAAAAGCAAGTGATATTCCTGTTAGTGTAATCAAAAGATCATCTCACGTAATTACACCGATCCTTAGTCGATACATCAACATCTTAATGTCTAATGGCACGTTCCCCGACGTTCTAAAGACTGGTAGAATAACTCCTGTATTTAAGAAGGGAAACCCTGAAGAGATAGAAAACTACCGCCCAATCTCTACTCTCTCTATATTTGGTAAAATCTTTGAAAAGATCATTTACTCAAGAATATATTCGTTTGCTAGCTCACAGGGTATAATATCTAAAACACAATTTGGCTTCAGGCAGTCACACTCTACTTCACATGCAGTTAATCACTCAGTAAACCTTATAACTGAATCTCTAAAACTTAAGCATCATGTCTTAGGCATATTCATAGACCTTAGCAAAGCTTTTGATACAATAGATCATGGTACATTACTTGTCAAATTACAGGGCTATGGGATACGTGGGGTGGCAAATGATCTTATAAAAAGTTACTTAACAAATAGATCACAATATACTGAAGTTGTTGGTGAGAAATCTGACGCCTTGAAAATACAGTTTGGAGTCCCTCAGGGTTCGATTCTTG